CCAAATAATACTTTTACAAACTAACGTAAGATAACGGATCGATTTGTAGAGGTGACTGCATGGCCACGTGGTACATTTAGCAATTAAAAATGTCACGAAATTGTATTATCCAGCTGGTGATGCTTCCGCTAGACCAATGACAATCTACACGTCTTGACATCTTATATTCTGTTTACGTTGACAGCAACTTCGAGCACTGCTTAATGATGACTAGCAAGTGCTTCCTGTTGTTGTGAATGTGAATCAGACACATCTACTGGTTATTAGATTATCTTGTAACGATAAGTAAGTTTGACCGTGCATGTATAAATCAAAAGTGTATATATCGACAATGATGGCACAAAAACGTGAGATAAAGGGGTGAATTATAGATGTGACTGCATTGCCACGCGGTACATTTATCATTAGAAATGTAACGAATTATTTTTCAGGTGGGGCTGCTGCTGGGCCAGTGACAATTTACCCGTCGTGACATCTTGTCGTCTGTTCACGTTCACAACAACTTCGAGCTCTCTGCGTAATATGTTGACTAGCAAGAGCTTGAATGTTGTGGTGAACGTGAGTCAGACCCATCTACTGGTTCATAGACAGAGCTATATAGATCTTTTTTCTTCCACCAACAAAAATGCAACTTAAAATTTGGAAGGAAAAAACGTAATAACGATACAAAGTAGACGTAAACCTAAACCAGTGTACATTGAAGACGAACGCAATAACGAATTATTGTAAATGGACTTAACGTATATCTGGGTATACTGTATGTTTAAAAACAGTTGTTTGTTCATGTTATGAGTGCCAGTAACAATCTGCAACGTATTGACATCTTGTATTCTGTTTACGTTGACAGCAACTTCGAGCACTGCTTACTGATGACTAGCAAGTGCGTACTGTTGTTGTGAATGTGAATCAGACCCATCTACTGGTTGTTAGATTATCCTTTGACGGTAAATAACTTTGAGGGTGCATGTATAAATCGACAGTGTCTGTATATATCGACAACGAATACTTTGGCAAACTAACGTAAGATAAGGAATCGATTTGTAGAGGTGACTGCATGGCCACGTGGTACATTTTGCATTTCGAAACGTAACTAATTATTATTATTCAGGTGGTGATGCTGCTGATATGCCATTGACAATCTACACGTCGTGACATCTTGTATTCTGTTTACGTTGACAGCAACTTCGAGCACTGCTTACTGATGACTAGCAAGTGCTTGCTGTCGTTGTGAATGTGAATCAGACCCATCTACTGGTTGTTAACTTCTCCTGTGAGGGTGAGTAACTTTGACCATGCATGTATAAATCAACAAGGTATACATCACAAATGACTAAGGTGAAATCAGGGTGCGATTCGCATTGCAGAGAAGAAGGCGCGATGCGCTACCCTGTACACCTGCTACGTTCACGGCAACACTGGGCACTGTGTTGTACATTCATCAACAAGTGCTCGCTGTTGTTGTGAACGTTGACACGGAACGTCTATTCGAAGTCTTCACGTGAGCAGTGATGCTCGCCACGGATGTGTGTCTGTGAACAAAATGGTGTCACGGTATGAAGTGCAGAGTGACAATCTACGCGTCGTGACTGCTCGTCTTCTGTTCACGTTGACAGCAACTCCGAGCACTCTGCTTAATGATGATTAATAAGTGCTTGCTGTTGTTGTGAATGTGAATCAGACCCATCTACTCGCTGTTAGGTTATCCTGTAACGGTAAACAACTTAAACAGCACATGTTTAAATATATGGAATGTGTGTATATATATCGCCAAAGAATACTTTGACAAACTAACGAAAGATAAGGGATCGATTCGTAGAGGTGACTGCATGGCCACGTGGTACATTTTGCAATTGTAAATGTCACGAAATTGTATTATCCAGCTGGTGATTCTTCCGCTAGACCAGTGACAATCTACACAGTCTTGACATCGTGTATTCTGTTTACGTTGACAGCAACTTCAAGCACTTCTTACTGATGACTAGCAAGTGCTTGCTGTTGTTGTGAATGTGAGTTAGACCCATCTACTGGTTATTAACTTCTCCTGTGAGGGCGAGTAACTTTGACCATGCATGTATAAATCAACAAGGTATACATCTCAAATGACTAAGGTGAAATCAGGGTGCGATTCGCATTGCAGAGAAGGAGGCGCGATTCGCTACCCTGTACACCTACTACGTTCACGGCAACACTGAGCACTTTGTTGTACATTCATCAACAAGTGCTCGCTGTTGTTGTGAACGTTTACACGGAACGTCTATTCGAAGTCTGCACGTGAGCGGTCATGCTCGCCACGGAGTTCATTCTCAAGGGCTCACTCGGACAATTGAAATGTGTTTCGTGACGACAACGATAGCACGCTATGATGTGCAGAGTGACAATCTACGCGTCTTGACTGTTCACGCTCACAGCAACTTCGAGCACTCTGCTTAACGTTGAAGATTAAGTGCTGGAATTTTGTTGTGAATGTGAATCGGCCCCATCTCCTCGCTGTTAGCTTCTCCTGTGAGGGTAAGTAACTTCGATTGTGCATGTGTTGAGGAGTTCCCAGGACGCACTCGGAGACGCAGGTAAGGTTAAGGGCTTTCGCCAAAGGTTTTTTAAGGGCTGTTACAATCTAACACAAGGGTACACAGCTCCCAGGGGTTAGGGGGTCCTACACTGAGTCCTGGTCCCTGTCCGGCTAGCTCTGGTCTCTCTCTCTCGTGTCGGATCGGGGACTCTGCCAACTCCACCGACCGGAGAGAGAAGCACCTCTATCGGCTACCACCAGCTTCTCTCCAGACTCACGACTCGATCCCTCTCTACCCCTGGTTCCCTCTTCACCCTTCTTACTCTACGCGTTCCCACAGTGACCCCGCTTCGCCACGCTTTAATAGTTTAAAGCGATTTGAAGCATGTTTCATATTTTTTTTGGGGGGGGGGGGGGGGTGGGAGGGGCAGAGCTTTGTGACATCATATTTGAGGGGAGGTCTGACTTTTTGTGACGTCGTGTGACGAAGGGGGGGTCAAAAATCGTCCAAAATCGTGTGACGTCATTTATGGACGGCCCCTTTCGCGATGTTTGCACATCGCACCCGGTACTCGCTTGAGGCTGAGTCAACCTACGTCACGCAGTGACGTATTGAGCAATACATGTCACCGTTGACCGGTGGTCGACACTTCTTGCCGTTGCTGAACGTGAATGTTTTACGATTCTAAAACTCCGGCGGTTCTACGCAATTCTAAGGGTCATGGAAGGGCGACATTGTGTTGATTTGTTAACGAATGGGAATCGGGCCGTGCGATTGGCCCGGGTGGATTGCGAGGTTAGAGGACGGGTAGGAGGGGTGGGTGGGGGGTGTGTAGACGAAGCAGGTGATTGGTGGAGAAGAGAAGGAGGAGGGGCGAACGGCTTGGAGAGAGCACGTGACATTTTCTTTGTGACGCATGTTGTGTTACCGCAGACGTGTTTTGTGTTACTGGTTAAATAAAGTTCGCTAACTGAAAGAGACGACTCGTGTCAATGTCTGAATGCAGTTGAAATTACTTTTTCAAACTATTCCACAATTTTGGGTTTACTAGCTAAGGCCTCGCTGAGTTGCCATGTGGCTCTTTTGGAAAACGCGACCCTGGCCATCGCAAATGATGGCAGCTCAACGAAGCGGCCATCTTATCACGTGGACATTTATAGCAGCCGAATACTCTAAACGCGCGACCTTCATTCTGAATGTGGAGGGGAAATCCCGGGGGACTCGGAGACAAATCCACGCGACTCCGGGGAGAGATAGAGACACGCAAACTCTAAATACACGGCAGTCGTCAGGGTCAGGATCGAACCCACGACCTCCAGCGTCCCAGGCGAGGTAGTTAACATCTCCTAGCCGCCGTGGCGCCCCAAATAACCGTACCTGCATTTGAGTTTGAGTCCCAGAAACGCTTTAAGTGCTGGGCAGCCTCCAACTTGTTCAGAATGCAGCTGCTAGAGTGCTTACACCACGTACTAGGTCTCGGCAAGGTAAGGTAATTTACTATTGTTACCGGGTAAAAGGGTAAAGGGTTAAAGGGTAAAGGTAAAGGGGTAAGGTAAAGGGTTAAAGGGTAAAGGTAGCTCGGAAGAATTACCCGGTAGGGTAAAGGTAGCGCGAAGTATTACCCGGTAAATACGGTACAGTCCGTGGCCTCCATTTAATAAGTAATATTTAAAAAAAAAACACGCTTTTATGAAATGTACCGTACTAGTAATGGCAGAACTCCACGACTCAAGTGGGACCGTGGCCAATTACAGCCAACGTCAGTTGATTCCAATTCCGTGAGCACATTACACCCAGGTCCTCTTATCTCTTCATTGGCTGCCGGTCAAATTCCGAGTAGATTTTAAGATACTGCTATTGACTAGAAGGCTTTAAAAAGGGCTCACCCCACATTGCTTGCAGGAACTAAGGGGTCGTCCATAAATGACGTCACGCACCTGGGGGGGGGGGGGGGGCGTCAGATATTTGTGACGATGTGTGACGAGGGGGGGGGGGGGTTGAGAAATGTGACGTCACATCAAAATGCGCAACTTTAAATATAGACAACACGTTCTACTTAATTAAATTGACTTTTCGATAAATGTTTTCTCCTACAACATCAGAGTGCAGCGCCACAATAAATACGCACTACAATGACAATAGTTTAAAGTTGCAGCATTTTGATGTGACGTCACATTTCTCAAACCCCTCGTCACACATCGTCACAAATGTCTGACCCACCTCCCCACCCCTAGGTGCGTGACGTCATTTATGGACGGCCCCTAAGGGTTTGACAGCTACGCAACAACAACAAACAGACTTTTGCCAAACAACGTTGGGCCATTGAACATTGAACGTTGGGTCAACGTTCAATGTCCACCGGTTCAAGGTTGAACCAACCAAACGAGGCACCACCAGCACCCGAGTTCACACGTCGATTCCCCGCGCACTCGATTCGTTTAACGCTGAATCGAAATCGGGATTCGTTTTATTGGGGAGGTGATTGAAGGAGGGAATCGATTCCACAGACCGGACGTCCGTGATTCCTCGAAAGTGACAGTCGCGATTCCAGTCTGCAGTGAGTGGTGAGTGTGTGTTGTACACGTGTGTGTGTGTTACACGTGTGTGTGTGGTGTGTGTGTTGTACACGTGTGTGTGTGTTACACGTGTGTGTGTGGTGTGTGTGTTGTACACGTGGTGTGTGTGTGTCTAGGGTACACGTCTGTGTGTGTGTGTGTCTAGGGTACACGTGTGTGTGTGTCTCGGGTACACACGTGTGTGTGTGGTGTGTGGGGGACATGTGTGTATGTGTACACTGTGTGTGTGTGTGGTGTGTGTGGTACACGTGTGTGTGTGTCTAGGGTACACGTGTGTGTGTGTGTGTGTCTAGGGTACACGTGTGTGTGTGTAGGGTACACGTGTGTATGTGTCTAGGGTACACGTGTGTGTGTGTCTAGGGTACACGTGTGTGTGGTACACTGTGTGTGTGTGGTGTGTGTGTTACACGTGTGTGTGTGGTGTGTGGGGGACATGTGTGTGTGTGGTACACGTGTGTGCGTGTGGTACACGTGTGTGTGTGGGGGCAAGTGTGTGTATGTTCTACACGTGTGTGTGTGTGGTACACGTGTGTGTGTGTGGTACACGTGTGTGAGGGACATGTGTGTGTGTGGAGTACGCGTGTGTCTGTGTGTGTGGTGTGTGTGGTACACGTTTGTGTGTGGGGGGGACATGTGTGTGTGTGGGGTACACGTGTGTGTGTGTGGGGTACACGTGTGTGTGTGTATGGGGTACACGTGTGTGTAGGGTGCACTTGTCTGCTGAGGCAACGTCTCTGTAGGGAACTCGAGGTGGCAACTTCTCTGTAGGGAACTCAAGGTGGCAACGTCTCTGTAGGGAACTCAAGGTGGCAACGTCTCTGTAAGGAACTCAAGGTGGCAACGTCTCTGTAGGGAACTCAAGGTGGCAACGTCTCTGTAGGGAACTCAAGGTGGCAATGTCTCTGTAGGGAACTCAAGGTGGCAACGTCTCTGTAGGGAACTCAAGGTGGCAACGTATCTGTAGGGAACTCAAGGTGGCAACGTCTCTGTAGGGAACTCGAGGTGGCAATGTCTCTGTAGGGAACTCGAGGTGGCAACGTCTCTGTAGGGAACTCAAGGTGGCAATGTCTCTGTAGGGAACTCAAGGTGGCAATGTCTCTGTAGGGTGGTCAAGGTGGCAACGTCTCTGTAGGGCACTCAAGGTGGCAATGTCTCTGTAGGGAACTCAAGGTGGCAACGTCTCTGTAGGGATCTCAAGGTGGCAATGTCTCTGTAGGGAACTCAAGGTGGCAACGTCTCTGTAGGAACTCGAGGTGGCAACGTCGCTGTAGGGAACTCAAGGTGGCAACGTCTCTGTAGGGAACTCAAGGTGGCAACGTCTCTGTAGGGAACTCGAGGTGGCAACGTCGCTGTAGGAAACTCAAGGTGGCAACGTCGCTGTAGGGAACTCAAGGTGGCAACGTGTCTGTAGGGTGGTCAAGGTGGCAACGTCTCTGTAGGGAACTCAAGGTGGCAACGTCTCTGTAGGGAACTCGAGGTGGCAACGTCTCTGTAGGGAACTCGAGGTGGCAATGTCTCTGTAGGGAACTCGAGGTGGCAACGTCTCTGTAGGGGACTCAAGGAGGCAATGTCTCTGTAGGGAACTCAAGGTGGCAATGTCTCTGTAGGGAACTCGAGGTGGCAATGTCTCTGTAGGGAACTCAAGGTGGCAATGTCTCTGTAGGGAACTCAAGGAGGCAATGTCTCTGTAGGGAACTCGAGGTGGCAACGTCTCTGTAGGGAACTCAAGGTGGCAACGTCTCTGTAGGGAACTCCAGGTGGCAACGTCTCTGTAGGGAACTCAAGGTGGCAACGTCTCTGTAGGGAACTCGAGGTGGCAACGTCTCTGTAGGGTGGTCAAGGTGGCAATGTCTCTGTAGGGAACTCGAGGTGGCAATGTCTCTGTAGGGAACTCGAGGTGGCAACGTCTCTGTAGGGAACTCAAGGTGGCAACGTCTCTGTAGGGAACTCAAGGTGGCAATGTCTCTGTAGGGAACTCGAGGTGGCAACGTCTCTGTAGGGTGGTCAAGGTGGCAATGTCTCTGTAGGGAACTCGAGGTGGCAATGTCTCTGTAGGGAACTCGAGGTGGCAACGTCTCTGTAGGGAACTCAAGGTGGCAACGTCTCTGTAGGGAACTCAAGGTGGCAATGTCTCTGTAGGGAACTCGAGGTGGCAACGTCTCTGTAGGGTGGTCAAGGTGGCAATGTCTCTGTAGGGAACTCGAGGTGGCAATGTCTCTGTAGGGAACTAGAGGTGGCAACGTCTCTGTAGGGAACTCAAGGTGGCAACGTCTCTGTAGGGAACTCAAGGTGGCAATGTCTCTGTAGGGAACTCGAGGTGGCAACGTCTCTGTAGGGTGGTCAAGGTGGCAATGTCTCTGTAGGGAACTCGAGGTGGCAATTTCTCTGTAGGGAACTCGAGGTGGCAACGTGTCTGTAGGGAACTCAAGGTGTCAATTTCTCCGTAGGGTGGTCAAGGTGGCAATGGCTCTGTAGGGTGGTCAAGGTGGCAATGTCTCCCTAGGGAACTCAAGGTGGCAATGTCTCTGTAGGGAACTCAAGGTGGCAATGTCTCTATAGGGTGGTCAAGGTGGCAATGGCTCCACGCGTGCTGACCGTGGTGAGGTGCCTCCTGGGGGCGTTCTTCGCTCTGGCCGGGCTCGTCAAGGTCACCGACCTCGTGTCGCCAGACGTCCATCAGCACATGGTAAACACGCGCGAGTGCTCGCACGACAAACAACGACAACGGCAACGACGTGGCGATTCGTGCCAGGCTAGGTGCACTTTGGAAGGCCGTCGCGTGAAGTGTACTGATTGGCACGGTTGGCTACGTACGGTGCGAACGAAGTTCCACATACACGCACAGAGACCCGTAGAGACACCCAGAACCATAGAGAACTACATAGACTACCCATAGCAACCTAGAGACCCACAGGTTAGCACGGTTGGCTACGTACGGTGCGAAAGAAGTTCAACATACATCCAGTGTGTAATTCTGTCTCACTCCTGCTTGCAGGAGGTCACGGGACAGACCCAGCAGGTGCCATGGGTTGACTGCTGTGCCAGGCTAGGTGCATGATGTCACGGGACAGACCCAGCAGGTGCCATGGGTTGACTGCTGTGCCAGGCTAGGTGCAGGAGGAGGTTACTGGACAGACCCCGCAGGTGCCATGGGTTGACTGCTGTGCCAGGCTAGGTGCAGGAGGTCACGGGACAGACCCAGCAGGTGCCATGGGTTGACTGCTGTGCCAGGCTAGGTGCAGGAGGTCACGGGACAGACCCATCCGGTCCTCTGAGTTGACTTCTGTGCCAGGCTAGGTGCACGGGACAGACCCAGCAGGTGACATGAGTCGACCGACTGAGATGACCGGTAGATGCACCACCACCAGCTGTACCCCCCTGCTGTGCCAGGCTAGGTGCAAGAGGTCACAGGACAGACCCAGCAGGTCCCATGGGTCGACCGACTGAGATGACCTGTAGATGCACCACCACCAGCTGTACCCCCCTGCTGTGCCAGGCTAGGTGCAGGATGTCACGGGACAGACCCAGCAGGTGCCATGGGTCGACCGACTGAGATGACCTGTAGATGCACCACCACCAGCTGTACCCCCCTGCTGTGCCAGGCTAGGTGCAGGAGGTCACGGGACAGACCCAGCAGGTGCCATGGGTCGACTGACTGAGATTACCGAGATGACTGGCTGATGCACCACCTGTGCCCCCTACTGTGCCAACTTGCTGTGCTTTAGCCACCCAGCGCTCCGCTCGTTGTTGTGAACCGGCGTCGTTCCTCCGCCCTCCGCTGTTGTCGCTGTCCTTCACGAACCTCCTCCACCGCCGTCGCCATCAACCCCCATGTGCCGTGCGTCTTGTGTCTGGTCTCGTGTCTTGTCTCGTGTCCCCCTCCGGTCGCGTGGCGAGACGCAGAAAGAGGAGTTCTCCAAGTTCTCTGCCGTCTTCCCGCTTGCCCCGCTGGGCTGGCGACCTCCGCCCGACCTCTACATGGCCACCGTCGGCTGGATGGAGCTCCTTCCCGGGATCCTCCTCGTGCTGGGGCCCACTCCCCTGCAGACGGCGAGCGGCGTCGTGCTGCTCGTCATCATGATCGGTAGCCGCTGCTGCTGCTGTTGTTGCTGATACTGCTGCTGCTACTGCTGCTGCTGCTATTGCTGCGACTGCTGCTGTTGTTGCTGCTGTTGCTTCTGCTGCTGCTACTGCTGCTGCTATTGCTGCTGTTGCTTCTGCTGCTGTTGATGTTGCTACTGCTGCTATTGCTGCTGCTCTATTGCTGCTGCTACTGCTGCTGCTATTGCTGCTGCTATTGCTGCTGTTGCTACTGCTGCTACTACTGCTGCTGATATTGCTACTGCTACTGCTGCTGCTATTGCTGCTATTGCTGCTGTTGCTACTGTTGTTGCTTCTGCTGCTGTTGATGTTGCTACTGCTGCTATTGCTGCTGCTGCTACTGCTGCTGCTACTACTGCTGCTGCTTCTGCTGCTGCTGATGCTACTGCTGCTGCTGATATTGCTGCTACTGCTGCTGTTATTGCTGCTACTACTGCTGCTGTTGCTTCTGTTGCTACTGCTGCTGCTATTGCTGCTACTGCTGCTATTGCTGCTGCTATTGCTGCTGTTGCTACTGCTGCTGTTGCTGCTATTGCGGATACTGCTGCTGTTGCTGCTGCTGATACTGCTGCTACTGCTGCTGTTGCTTCTGCTGCTGCTACTGCTGCTGCTATTGCTGCTGTTGCTTCTGCTGCTGTTGATGTTGCTACTGCTGCTATTGCTGCTGTTGTTGTTGCTGCTGCTACTTCTGCTGTTGCTACTGCTGCTATTGCTGCTGTTGCTACTACTGCTGCTATTTCTGCTGCTGTTGCTGCTGCTGCTATTGCTGCTACTGCTGCTGCTACTGCTGCCGCTACTGCTGCAACTGCTTCTATTGCTGCTGCTATTGCTGTTGCTGCTGCTTTTGTTGCTGCTGTTGCTTCTGCTGCTGTTGATGTTGCTGCTACGTCTGCTATTGCTGCTGAGATGGCGGGACAAGTGATAGAGGGTACGCTGTACCATTCCGCAAACTGTATCATACTGTTTCATTCCGCAAACTGTATCATACTGTATAATCCCGCAAACTGTACCATACTGTACCATCCCACAAACTGTATCATACTGTATCATCCCACAAACTGTACCATACTGTACCATCCCACAAACTGTATCATACTGTATCGTTCTGCAAACTGTATCACACTGTACCATCCCACAAACTGTACCATACTGTACCATCCCACAAACTGTATCATACTGTACCATCCCACAAACTGTACCATACTGTATCGTTCAGCAAACTGTACCATACTGTATCATTCCACAAACTGTACCATACTGTACCATCCCACAAACTGTATCATACTGTACCATCACACAAATTGTATCATACTGTACCATCCCACAAACTGTACCATACTGTATCGTTCAGCAAACTGTACCATACTGTACCATCCCACAAACGGTATAATACTGTACCATCCCACAAACTGTACCGAACTGTATAATTCCGCAAACTGTACTATGTATAATTCCGCAAACTACCGTTCCCTGTACTGTACCGTACTGTACCGTTCTCAGTACTACAGTAGAACCTCTGGTCACGAACGCTTCTGACCACGACCAAATCGGGTTCCGACCAAAAAAAATTTAAAAAATTTTCAATCTGGTCACGAACACAAACTCGGGTGGCGATCAAACATGGCCGCGGCCGATTTGCCCTTCCGCGCCATTTTTTTTGTAAGCGCCAAATTTCCTGTTGTTTGTTTACAACAAACAACAGCGACCCACGTGTGGCCGCTTGCTCAGTCAGTCTTGCTTAGTAATCGGTCTCGGTCAGACGTGCGCTCATTCGCTGTGAACTCTGCGCAGTATTTTGTGTATTTTTGCATTAATTTTGCATCAAGTTCAAGTTCATGTATTAGGTGTAGCCCTGTGAGCCATTCGGCTCTTGAATCGGGTGCAACCGCAACAAACAAAAAACATGAACAAAAAACATCTTAAAGTGAATATGTGACTAAGTGCAAACAGAAAATCCAAGAAAAGACAGCAAAATATTGCAGAAAATTCATACGATGATGCGGTGAAGTAAACGTTCATACGATATTACGGTGAATGCTTCCAAAAACAATACTGTACCCAAATATTACTGTTAACTTACTTTCAATAGAAACATGAATTGCTCGTACGATTATTCTCTCTCTCTCAGAATCGACCGACTGATGTAGCAGACGAAACAATCATCTTGTTGAACAATTCTAAATCTTGACGCGGCAATTTAAGTTTTCTCTGTTGTTCAAGGTTGTCTCAGTGTTATTCAATGTTTTTACATTTAGTTTACTATTACACTATGAATTCTATGGCATAATTAACTCTTTTTGTGCTTAAATCTTTTTAAAAAAACAATATTTATATACAGTTCGTAGGAGTCTGAAACGGATTCATCGTATTTACATACAATCCAATGGGGAAATTAGGTTCGCGTCACGACCAAATCGGGTTGCGACCAACGTTATGGAACGAATTATGGTCGTGACCAGAGGTTTTACTGTATATCCTACTCAGCCACGCAAGTTCAACAAAGTGGTTAATCGTTGACCGCTCATAAACCGCGTTCTAATTGTGCTCGTTCCACGTTATAACACTATTTATTCTGCGTTATAATGGAGGCACGCGTTATAACACTGTTCTGCGTTATAAAGGGGGGAGGGGGGCTCGTTATAACGCTGTCTGTTCTGTGTTGTAACGGGGGAGCTCGTTATAACGCTGTCTGTTCTGCGTTGTAACGGGGGCGCTCGTTATAACGCTGTCTGTTCTGCGTTGTAACGGGAGGGCTCGTTATAACGCTGTCTGTTCTGCGTTGTAACGGGGGCGCTCGTTATAACGCTGTCTGTTCTGCGTTGTAACGGGAGGGCTCGTTATAACGCTGTCTGTTCTGTGTTGTAACGGGGGAGCTCGTTATAACGCTGTCTGTTCTGCGTTGTAACGGGGGCGCTCGTTATAACGCTGTCTGTTCTGCGTTGTAACGGGGGAGCTCGTTATAACGCTGCCTGTTCTAGCGTTATAACGGGGGCGCTCGTTATAACGCTGTTCTGCGTTATAACGGGGACGCTCGTTATAACGCTGTTCTGCGTTATAACGGGGACGCTCGTTATAACGCTGTCTGTTCTGCGTTGTAACGGGGGAGCTCGTTATAACGCTGCCTGTTCTGCGTTATAACGGGGGCGCTCGTTATAACGCTGTTCTGCGTTATAACGGGGGCGCTCGTTATAACGCTGCCTGTTCTGCGTTATAACGGGGACTCTCGTTATAACGCTGTCCTGCGTTATAACGGGGGGGCTCGTTATAACGGTGCCTGTTCTGCGTTGTAACGGTGTCTACAAGTGTGTCCGCCTGTCCGCCCCGTGTGGTAGGCGCCATCTACAGCCTCCTGTCCCTGGGGCTCCCCCTGGTTCAGTGTCTCCCCGCCACCGTCTGCCTCCTCCTCCTGCTGCTGCTGCTGCTCAAGCCCAAGGAGCCGGTGGCCACTGGGGGTCGCCTCAAGACAAAAACCTCCTGAGAGGGGGCTGGGTGGGGTGGGGGGGGCTGGGTGGGGTGGGGGAGGGGTGGGGGGAGGGGGGGGGAGAATGAGGGTTGGCAGCGGGTGAGGTTCATACACGGCGAGGAGGTGTGAGGGGGGGTGGGAGCGAGGGGAGGGGGGGTGGGAAGGGGGTGGGAAGGGGGGGGGAGGGAGGGGGAGGGAGGGGGAGGAAGGGGGTAGGGGTGGAGGGAGGGGGTAAGGGGGGTGGGAGGGGAGGGAGAGGGGAAGGGGGGGAGAGAGGGGGGTAGGGGGAAAAGAGGGGAGGGAGGGGGGGGAGGTAAGGAGGGGGGTAGGGGGGTAAGGGGGGGAGGGAGGCGGGTGGGGAGGTGGGAGAGGGGTAAGGGGGGGTGGGAGGGGAGAGGGGGGGGGGGAGAGGGGAAGGGTGGGAGGGAGGGGAGGGGGGTGGGAGGGGGGAGGGAGGCAGGACAGGGAAGGTGAGGGTAAGGAGTGGGGATAGGAGAGTAGGGAGGGAGGGAGGGAGCGAGGGATGGATGGAGAAAGGGAATGAGTAGAATTTGGTGGAGAAGGAATGAGTCAATAAGTTGTGAAGGAGAGAGCCGAGTGAGGGGGGGGGGGGTAGCAGGATGAGGGTCAGTAAACACACCTCGTCTTCCCTTGTTGTTTGGACCAAACATCATCATCGTCATGTAGAGACCAAACATCATCATCGTCATGTAGAGACCAAACTAAATCATCGTCATGTAGAGACCAAACATCATCATCGTCATGTAGAGACCAAACATCATCATCGTCATGTAGAGACCAAACTAAATCATCGTCATGTAGAGACCAAACTAAATCATCGTCATGTAGAGACCAAACATCATCATCGTCATGTAGAGACCAAACTAAATCATCGTCATGTAGAGACCAAACATCATCATCGTCATGTAGAGACCAAACTAAATCATCGTCATGTAGAGACCAAACATCATCATCGTCATGTAGAGACCAAACATCATCATCGTCATGTAGAGACCAAACTAAATCATCGTCATGTAGAGACCAAACATCATCATCGTCATGTAGAGACCAAACATCATCATCGTCATGTAGAGACCAAACTAAATCATCGTCATGTAGAGACCAAACATCATCATCGTCATGTAGAGACCAAACTAAATCATCGTCATGTAGAGACCAAACATCATCATCGTCATGTAGAGACCAAACATCATCATCGTCATGTAGAGACCAAACTAAATCATCGTCATGTAGAGACCAAACTAAATCATCGTCATGTAGAGACCAAACATCATCATCGTCATGTAGAGACCAAACTAAATCATCGTCATGTAGAGACCAAACATCATCATCGTCATGTAGAGACCAAACATCATCATCGTCATGTAGAGACCAAACTAAATCATCGTCACTATGAGACCTCTTTTACCAGTGGCAAAATATAGTAGTAGGTTTTTACCCTTTAAACTGGTACAAAAAGTGATACCTTTATACAAGGCATCATGTTTGCAATAACCACAACACAAGCAGTCAAAATGCAAACAAAAAGAAACAACTCTGATAACGATATGCACTGTCCTTGAAGTTGATTGGTCCACACCCGAGACAGCTTTTCTTAGAGCCTAGTCTCCATTGGTGTTCAACACCAATGGAGACTAGGCATATCGTTATCAGAGTTGTTTCTTTTTGTTTGCATTTTTAAATCCTTTATATTAAGTTCACTTGCTTGCTTGCTTGCACGCTTACGACCGTGCAAATCTTTCGGTCGTTTTTTAACCCACTTCCCGTGATCCAATCGAGCTGACATTTTGCACACAGACTCGTTGTGCGAGACAATTAATGTTCGTGAAAATTTTTTTCCACAACTTTACACTGTTTAGGGAAATTTTTTAATATTTAATTACCAATTGCTTAATGGTGGCAGACAATCATCTGACCCATAGGTGGCAGCCATCTCAAGCCAGAGGACGAGAGGACTCTAGCCACCACGCATATAAAGGATTTAGAGTGAAAAACTTTGTTTTTACGGGTTAATTTATTAAATCCTTTATATTAAGTTCACTTGCTTGCTTGCTTGCTTGAGTGCTTGCTTGCTTACGACCGTGCAAATCTTTCGGTCGTTTTTTAACCCCCTTCCCGTGATCCAATCGAGCTGACATTTTGCACACAGACTCGTTGTGCGAGACAATTAATTTTCGTGAAAAAAAATTCCAAAATTTGACACTGTTTAGGGAATTTTTTAAAAATATTTAATTACCAATTGCTTAATGGTGGCAGACAATCATCTGACCCATAGGTGGCAGCCATCTCAAGACAGAGGACGAGAGGACTCGAGCCACCACGCATATAAAGGATTTATAATGAAAAACTTTGTTTTTACGGGTTAATTTTTTCTAGGTTAAATCTGTAATTGTGGAATACTTTGACGTCGCCTGCCAGCCGAGTCGCCCCCACCCCCCCCAATCAACACTGCCCCCACCCCCCACCCCGAAAACTAAAGAGTTTTTTAGCTCTTTGGGCTTTAGTCGGGAAACAAAACGTCCGATTGCGATTCATTGGAAGGACGACTTCGTCATCGTCGTCATCGTCATCATCGTCGTCATCATCATCGTTATCATCGCCATCTTCAGAATCGTCATCATCGTCATCATCGCCACCCTCGGTATCATCATCATCGACATCATCATCATCGACATCATCATCGTCATCATCATCATTACCCTCGGTATCGTCATCATCGACATCATCGTCATCATCGCCACCCTCGCTATCGTCATCATCATCATCGTCATCATCATCGACATCATCATCGCCACCCTCGGTATCGTCATTGTCATCATCATCGTCAACCCGGTATCATCGTCATCGTCGCCGTCAGCAACAGCGAGTTGTCATTTAATTGGAACTCGCCGATTGACGATGACCTTCACTACAATCGCTGCTAAATGTTTCCACAATGTCTGGTTGCCTTCCTCTTCTTTCGTACGGCACGATGGGGGTGGTTGTGTGGGTGGTTGTGTGGGTGGTTGTGTGGGTGGTTGTGTGGGTGGTTGTGTGGGTGGTTGTGTGGGTGGTTGTGTGGGTGGTTGTGTGGGTGGTTGTGGAGACGCGATGATTTGCGGCCACATGGCAGGAATCTCGCGTCTCTTTTGGTTTTTCGGGAGAAGGGATTTGACGGTGTCCGCGTCGTCCGTTTGCGTTCGTCGCCCGGCTTGGCCGCCGAGGCTCCGTGCCCGTTGTGGCTTTGTGCTTTTTCGCTCGCGGCAGCAGCAGCAGCAGGAACCGTAATCGGTCGCAAAGAATGAAACCCATGCGGGGGTTTTAGTTCAAATTTCGATTTAAGTCACGTAGAAGGGAAGTAATAAAATAACAAAAATAAAACATAATAAAATAATTCTCACGACGTTTCGGCCACAACGCAAGCAGCCGTCCTCAGGTGAAGACCAGGTCTGTCGGGAAGACAGCGTCTGAATGAAACACCACCACGCTTTAGTGTCACGCCGTGGCTTATTCGCGACGCGAAAAGTGGACCCTGAAGCCAATGAAGAGCATCGCAGCGTCAATAAAAGTTTAAATCACCGATACCGCATCGAACCCCTTTCTGCGGTTACGACGCCGCACGCACCTGCACGCGTACATCGTCAGCTTTCCTTCCGATTCCGTTCGGATGACGTAAAACGGCACGCCGGAAGCAGCAGCAGCAACGCTGAGGCTCCCACCACGATGGGCGGGGGAGGGAGGGAGGCAGCGGGCATGCGGCACAGCTTTTTTGGTGCCGGCTATCGGTAGAGTGGCGGCGGCGTCGGTCGTGCCGCTTGCGGTTCTCCGCGGTGAGTAACGACGTCTTGATGAAAACGACGGGAGCTGCTGCCGCCGCTGCTGCTACTGCTGCTGCTACGACTGCGTCTCCCTCTGCAACGCAACATTAACGCTGAGCCGCTGGCGCGTTTCCCCGGGTTCGCCAGTGAATAATATCACGGTTAAACACATTCCTGCGGAGGGAGCTGGTAGGAACGTCGGGTTGCTCGGTCAATGGCCTGCAGGGTCAACGGCGGCGTGGTGTATTCCGCAAATATGCCCGACTGTGAGGGCGGGCACAAGCCGGCGTGAGTAGGTTAAACGTTGAGTTTTATAAGGGCACCACGGGGTGACCAGCCCCTCCCCACCCAGCCCCACCCCTCCCTCCCGACCCAGCCCTTCCCCACCCAGCCTCTCCCCCACCCTCCCCACCCAGCCCCTCCCTACCCTCCCCACCCAGCCCCTCCCTACCCTCCCCACCCTCCCCTCTCCACCCAGCCCCACCCCTCCCATTTTTTGATGCACGACGGACGGACACAATAATCCCCTGTGGGCTGGTGTAACCAGGAGATTCCTACCAGTATAACACAGCGTGGAGGTGCCATTGGGTAAACAAATACTAAATTAAATTGGGTTTTGTGACGTCCATTGTCATTTGGAGCCATCCCGTGCTGCGGCCGATAGGGGGCAGCACGTGGTAGCTCCAAATAAGAAAAAAGTGACGTCACAATAACCATGGGGATATCGAGACTCGGGGATGCGTGCGAGTGGAGTTTAAACAAATCAAAGGTTAAGAAAAGTTTAAACTATGACGAGATTAACACAGTTAAAGTGTACGGCCTTGGTGGTGTGGATTGGTGTGTGGCATTGGGGGTGTGTGATTATGATGCCTGTATCAGGGGTAGGTGAGTGGTGGTGTGGTGTGTGGTGGTGTGATGTGAAGGTGAGTGGTGGTATGGGTTGGTGTGCAGGCGATAATGTGGTTGTGAGGCCTGTATAGGGGTCGGTGAGTGGTGGTGTGGGTTTGGTGTGCAGGCTAGAATGTGGTTGTGAGGCCTGTATAGGGGTCGGTGAGTGGTGGTGTGGTAAGTGGTGGTTTGGGTTTGGTGGTAGCTCCGATGAGCCAGACCCGTCCATACTTTTGCGAGGCTCCCCCAGGTGAATCACAGTTGTCAGTAGCTCATCAGTTGTCTAATGTGTGAGCCAAGTAAGTCAGACACTGAGGCCACCCTGTGTAGAACATCTATTGGTGGCTCTTGGGTGAGCCAGACCCATCGAGGGATTTTATTTCAGCGGGACGCGCCCAATGAGCTTTTCGGCTCTACGAGTTCATTGGCGTACGGTGCAGGTGTTGCTACATGGTACAGATCGAGGTTACACAGGTCGCGATGCAAACAGCGAGTCGCCGTACTCATGATGTACATAATCATCAACATCACAATCCATGGGCAGACAGCCCCCTAGCAGAGGTTGCAATCGGGTACCCGATACCCGTACCCTACCCGATACCTGGCTACCCGTACCCGGCCGGGTACGGGTACGGGTATCCGTTTGCGACCCTGGCGCGGTCGGGTACCGGTAGGCCGTGAGTCACTGGTGAGTAACCGTTCGTCACTCATTTTCCAACGTCTTGTCTCTTCTCACAATTCAAGTTCCTAGAATCAAACCACCCGCGCCTGCAACATGGCTTCATCCCAGAGGTCGCAATCGGGTACCCATACCCTACCCGATACCCGGCCGGGTACGGGTAGCCGGGTATCGGGTAGGGTACGGGTACCCGTTTGCGACCCTGGTGCGGCCGGGTACGGGTACGGGTAAGGAATCAAAACCCGTTTGCGACCTCTGCCCCCGAGTAGTAGGAGGTGTGTCGACTGCTACATTTCATCATTTGTTGTTTCCACTTTCCTCTTCTGTCTTGTCGTGCCAGTATGTCTCAAGTCGTGCACATTATCATCGTGTATTGTGTAGTTTATAGTATAGCGTATAGTGTACTGTATAGCGTAGTATATAGTGTAGTATATAGTGTAGTGGATAATAGTGTAGTGTATAATGTAGTGCAGCATCATCATCACCACGATCCATGGGCAGATAGCCCCCAAGTAGTAGTTGGTGTGTCCACTGAGTTAACGTTGTGCTCACTAATAAATAAATAGTGTTGCCTTCCCAGAACACTGTGTGCGCACCTCTCGAACCATTTCACATGTATTCAGGCGCCCAGTCCATTTCGCGACTTAGAAACCGATAGCAAAAACAAATCTTGAAATCAATTCTCAAGTTGACAGGCAGCCAGTGTAGAGACTTTAAAACCGGTGTAATGTGCGCGGCTCTCCGTCTGGTCTTGGTCAGCGCTCGTGCTGCAGCATTCTGAACGAGCTGTGGTTTACCCGTTGCTTTCTTAGTGTAGAGGAGTAAAATGGGGGCGTGACGTCATGTGTGCCGTCCAGTGCGATGACGTCACGTTAAATGGGAATCACGACCCCAGTTTGCCAGTCCAGTGGTACTGTACCTGCCTTCCATGTGTAGTAGGTTCGAATTAGGTGCACACACACGCAGCTTGGAGGCAACACTATTTATTAAACGGTAAGTAATATAACACTGTACATAAGGTGGTGACCACCTTCCTCAACTCACTAACACTCTGGAACGCGACACAGACTGGACCAGGCAGGCAACGGCCTGCCTGGCCCAGGACGACGACTCGGGACTTGACGACCGATGATGTCTTTTCTTTGGAGTACAGTACAACAGCCTTGCTCTGCGTTCACACCACGCTTATATCTGCTTTGGCGTGGCCGGCTCCGCCCAGGCGTGGCTGGCTCTCTCCAGGCCACGCCTCCATTCCCAGGACACGCCTCACTTCCCCCACCTCTGGGAAGGTCCGGATCCCTCCAGCACGTGACCCCCTAGGCACCCCCTTGGGGCCCCCAGCCCTCGTATGGGCCGACACAGTAGTGACCGTTCTATGTCACTACACATGCAACATTGAAGAGGCGTGTTAACCACGACACTCCTACACTGTCCAGAGCTTTCAACAACTCTGGGCCAATCTCGTCCACCCCGGCAGCTTTGCCGCTACGAATGCCGTCGACCGCTGCAGCGACTTCAGCAGCCGTGATGGATCAGACGCCCCCAGTTGTTGCCAGGGCTGCCTACTCAGAGGAGGGCATGTCCACCGGTTTGAGGAACTGCTTGAGGTTGCGTTTAGATTGTTGTCCTTCCCTCGCATCACCGATGAGCACGGTTGGTTACGTGCGGTGCGAAAGAAGTTCAACATACTACACTATCCACTACTATTACACACTACACGGCTCTATATGCAACACCACTATACAACATCGTGAACTTTCTTTGGAACTGCTTGATATGTTCATTTTGTTGTCCTTCCCCTGCATCTCCGATTATCATGGTTGGCTACGCACTGTGCGAAAGAAGTTCAACGTACACACGCACACACACACACACACGAGCAGATCATCATCGCACTGAGCACTTTTATTGAACTCCCTTGCAGCAATGACTTACAAAAGAAACGCAGGTGCACGTGAAAGGTTACATTAATAATGATCATCACAACGACGACGACAACAAAATTCCCACCGGCCGATTACGAATCCCCTTGAGCTCAAGGGAAATATATACAGGCCTAGAGGGTCAGGTGAAGTGAAACTAAAAACCACAAAAAAACTCTATGGGTCTCTGCTAGTGTCTATGGGGTCACTATCCAGACCACTGGGGTCTCCACCACAACTCTTGTCTATGCGAGTCCACGAGGGGTCTTCTATGTGGGACTTCTTGGGTCTCTCGCTCTCTCTACAAGTCACCGGTGGAGCGGACTGGGATCTTCAACTCGCTACGCTACTTGAAAAACAAGGTTTAATCACAGTTCGGTCTACGAAAGTCAGTCGGCGCATCTCTATGTAAATATGTCGGTCTACTATGCAAGCCACTGGATCTCGACTTAGCTATTGGGGGGGGGGGGGGGCGCTTTCGGGTGCGCTTCTGCGGCCGTCTGGAATGCTCTTCCTTTCCGATAATTAGGAAGCCGCTGGGAGCTACGGACGCACTTTCAAATGATCACCATTCAGACAAACTCGTTTCTTTAGAACCGCTTGTCGTCGCTGCGTTTAGTTTTGTAGTCCTTCCACCCCCCCGCACCGCCGATTAGCGCGGTTTCACTAACGCACGGTTGCCAAAGAAGCTCAGCAAACGTAAACGACCCGTTGTCGTTGACACTAACAACGACAAAGTCGGGGGTGGCCAGCGTCAATTCCAAATCGAGTGAAAGTTGGCTCGCTGCGACGCTGCGTCAAAAAACTTTGAAACGCGGCACGGGCAGCAGACTCCACCACGGCGTTCCCAGGGGAGGCGCCTAAGCCTCAAGTGTTCATAACACCAGCGCACTGTACACCGTACACCAGCACCACACCGCACGCAGCACCGCACACCACACTGTATGCCACACTGTATGCCACACTGTATACAGCACAGCATTGCCCTGTGCACCGTGCATCGTCACGCTGTGTACTGTACGACGACGCCATACTATGCATCACCCTGCAGCGAGGCATCACCATACCATGCAACATCGCCGCACTGTACAACGCTGCCACACTGTATACCGCACAACACTGAAAATTGTACATTGCCGCACTGTATACTGTGCAGCGTGGCTACGCCGCCGTGCATCGTGATGCTGTACAGACACCGCCATACTGTACAATATCGCTGTACTGCATACTGTGCAACATTGCCATGCTGTGTACTGTACTACCCTCTCTTCATGTATTATATGACTTATTGAGACTTGTTACACAACATCTTTTTAGGTATTTCTTTAACTCCTTTCCCCGTTCCGAGACGGCTGCAAGTCGCAGGGGTGGTGTGGGGTGTGGGTGCTCCCCATTCACCGCCGAATCTCAGAACATCGCGAGCGGCTCAGCGTTCGTTGTATTTAGAGAGAGGCGTAGCAGCGGCGGCAGCAGTGCCGTTGTTTTTATGAAGACGTCGTCAACGCGGAGAAACGCAGCGAACACGATCGCCGCAACTCGACGTGAGCTGGGCACCAAACAACTCGAGCCACACGGACTCCCGCACGGCCTTGTGGGAGCCTCAGTGTAACGATAAAGTTACATTTTTTTTCCCTTCCGCGTGCGTGCGTAAATCGGAAAGGTTTCATTTTTTTTTCTTTCTGCAAATGTTGACCCAAAAAAAAACCCACAACTCCCGAGAACGCATCCTAAATTCACATCGTGAAAATCAACGGTCAATAGATTTGCATCGTTTGGCACAACGTTGCGCTTCCGACGGACGCACTCTACGTAAACAGAGGACTTGCTGTAACACGTAACGCGCCCAGTGACCAAATGGCAAAACTATGAAAACTCTTTCTATTTATTGTTACCAGGCAAGGCCCCACTGAGCTACTATTTAGCTCTTTTCAGAAGTGAACTGGCTATCACAAATGATAGCCCAATGAAGTGGCCTATCATCATCACGTGGACATTTATAGCAGTAGCCAAATACTCTAAAATGCGCGATGTTGATTCTAAATGTGGTAGGGAAAAAAACGGAGGCCCCGGAGAAAAATCCACGCGACCACGGGGAGAACACGCAAACTCCAAATCTACAGCAGCAGGCATCGTCAGGGTCGAGATCGAAGCCACGACCTCCTGCACACCAGGCGAGGTAGTCAACATCTCCTGGCCACCGTGGTGCCCGCTGCAGTGTCTCCAGCAAGGCCGTTGTGAGCCCTCTGAACCCATCCGGCTGACTCGAGAAATTACATTTGGGAAAAAAGAAAGTTTTACCCTGGGCAGGTGAGGAGGGACCACCATCCCCTTACTTCTTGGTGGTTTTGCGGATCAGAGCCAGCCTCTGTGGAAAGAAAGAAACGGAAGAGGCGCACGTGTGTATGCAGACATTGTAAACATGTAGCCTTAACAGACTGTTGGGGTAAGTGCTTAGCGAGTAACAGCGCCTATGAAGGCCGTCACGGCACACGAGGGGGTGGGCGTCCAGTAGTCTCCTTAACATACCACCACAGGTACTCATTTGAGGCTCAGTCGATCTAGGGGAGGCCCAGGACCAGTTCAGATAATCGTCACTGGTGGTGGCTTGGGTCGCAGTGTTCGTAGAACAGCGCGCTAACCGCTACACCACTGCTCCCCCCCACTATACACACAGACACACTATTACACAACAACCGCCATTCGCTACCAAGTGGCGGTGATGTCAACCACGGCGCTTGTGCCAGGCTAGGTGCACTCTTAAGCAGTCACGTGAAGCGTCGAAAGCTCGCTGCTGACAGGAGCTTACGGGATAAACCTAGGGGGGACGCCACGGGTTGACCGAATGAGACGATCGGCAGATGCACCACCGGCCATGCCCCCCCCACCCCGCCCCACCTCCGCTCGTTGTCGCGAGCGTCGCACGCTCCTCTGTCGTCGGGGGGAGGGCCGCGACTGCCTCCCGACTTAGCCCCAGAGGTCGCAAACGGGTTTTGATTCCTTACCCGTACCCGGCCGCACCAGGGTCGAAAACGGGTACCTGTACCCTACTCGATACCCGGCTACCCGTACCCGGCCGGGTATCGGGTAGGGTACGGGTATTGGATACCCGATTGCGACCTCTGGGATGAAGCCATGTTGCAGGCGCGGGTGGGTTGATTCTAGGAACTTGAATTGTGAGAAGAGACAAGACGTTGGGAAATGAGTGACAAACGGTGACTCACCAGTGACTCACGGCCTACCCGTACCCGGCCGCACCAGGCTCGCAAACGGCTACCCGCACCCGGCCGGGTACGGGTAGCCGGGTATCGGGTAGGGTACGGGTATCGGGTACCCGGTTGCGACCTCTGCTTAGCCCCTGGTTAAGCGGCGGCGGTGGTGGGGGCTGCAACCCAGCCCGGCGCCGCACGATAGCGGACGTCCCCTTCGCGAGGAGGTCCCCGCGCGATCGCTCGCCGCCCTCACCTGCTTGTGAGCCTCCGTTGTGCAGGACTTCTTGTAGGGCCTGATCTCCTCCGAGCCGAAGCCTGGTATGCGCATGTTCCACTGCCTCTCTGCGCGAAAGACACGGGCGACGCAGCGACGCATCATGTCGCGCTCAACACGGAGACTTTTATTTTCTCCTCCCAGCTTCCACCCCCCTCACCCCACCACCGTGGGTGGCGCGGACGACGATGGGGGGAGGGGTTCGTGGGAAGGGGCTCGTGTCTGTATGTACGGTGGACTTCTTTGGCACCGTACGTAGCCAACCCTTGACCGTGTCTGTATGTACGGTGACATTTTTTGGCACCATGTAGTAATAGGTTTTTACCCTTTCAACTGGTACAAAAACTGACACCTTTATACAAGGGATCGTGTTTGCAATAACCGCAACACAAGCAGTCAAAATGCAAACAAAAAGAAACAACTCTGATGGTGATAATGATATGCACTGTCCTTGAAATTGATTGGTCCACACCCGAGACAGCTTTTCTTAGAGCCTAGTCTCCATTGGTGTTGGACCGTACGTAGCCAACCCTTGACCGTGTCTGTATGTACGGTGACCTTCTCTCGCACCGTGCGTGAGCGTTAGTCGCGAGCGTACCCAGGTGCAACTGCAGGTCGCGGACTTCGAGCGACGAGGACTTGCGATGGCGTGCCAGCTTGCAGGCGGCGGACACCACGTTCTCAATGAAGTCGTCGGCAATCTGCAGCAGCATCTGGGGGGAGGGAGGGGAGGGAGAGGAAGGCGGGGGGGAGGGCGGGAGGGCATGGAGGGAGAGGGATGGATTGGTCTGTCAGAACCACAGCAGCTCAGAGATGCCAACTCCCTCGCCTGATATACTTCACTAAACTACAGTCGACTTCAACGATTACCTATGTATGCGGTTGACCTCGATTTGCGAATAAACCGTGAATTAATAAATCGCGTGGATTTTCCCCTCAAGCCCAAATTAATCACCGAGAAAGCATTCGTACAACGTTGTTATTCTCGTGAAATGTTTATCGCAAGTCGCACGCGCGCGCTCAATCCGGGCAGATACGTTGCCCCGGTTAATCCGAAATCCACGCGATCGCCACTACACAACAGGAGTTGCCAAATCTTTACATCAATGGCCGTACAGCTAATCCTTGTTCATTCGACGCATATTGGGCTCTGGCCTTGCTGAATTATTACAAATTATGAATTATGTACAATGGTTACTACCCCCAGTGCCTCCTGCCCTGATAAAACAACAATTTTTCGAATTTGTTTTTCAAACTCTTCACGCATTGACACGCGCAAACACACCCCGCCCCCCCCCCCCCCCCCCCCCACATAAACTTGTGGTGAACATGCAAACACAAAACAGGCTCTGGTAGCATATGATAGAGAGATCTGGTGAAAAAATCCACGCGACCACAAGGAGATAGAGATGCACAAACTCCGAATATACAGCAGCTATCGTCAGGGTCGGTATCGAACCCACGACCTCCTGCACACCAGGCGAGGTAGTTAACATCTCCTAGCCATCGTGATGATGAAGAGAGATATACGCAGACTCCAAATCTACAGCAGCAGGCATCGTCAGGGTCGGGATCGAACCCACGACCTCCTGTACACCAGGCGAGGTAGTTGACATCTCCTCGCCCACGATGGATTGGCCACCACCGAGCGAGAGGATTTCGCAGCGACGTGCGTTAAGCCCTGGACACACACGCGCGTGACCCCGTGACCCCGCGTTACCTCCTCCACATCATCGTCCAGTTGCTCGTTGGGGTCAACTTCCCGCACCAGGTCCTGCAGCCTCTTCCTGCTCAGCACCTGGTGACGAGAGGGGCGGTGGAGGTGTTAGGGAGTAGCAGCAGCAGCACCTGTGAAGACCGTGGGCTGGTGGGGTGGGTCGATCCCCGGCCATCTCCTCCCACCTGCGTGCCGTCCACAACGCAGCGCGGGCCACCGGCGACCCCGCCGGCCGGCGTCCCCGACGGAGACTCTCGCTTCACGGTGACGGCACCACCGCCCGCGGCCCCCGTAACCACGGCGGCGGCGGCCGCGCCACCGGCAACGGAAGAAGCGGTGGAGGACGGGGAGCAGGAGATGCCCGCGGCGGTCGTGACGGACGTCGGACCGGCGGCGACGACGTTGGCGGGCGAGGTGTCCGCGTTGGGCTTGAGGGCCGACGCGGTGGCGAGGCTGGACACGTTGAGCAGAGCCGTGGGGCCCATGTTGGCGAGGACCTTAGCGGGTGAAATCGGAAATCAGGTTTAATTTATCCATAATAGAGGGGGGGGGGTGGGTTTGTCGGGTAAGATCGCGTAAATATATAAGTGTTGTGTCGTTAAACCCGCCACCACCCGACACAGCCAACCGACTAGTAAGAGGTTTGTCACGTAAACAGAACGTGGCCAATTCGTTACTATTTCGATTTAAAGCTTTCGTGACTGCAGGGATTCATCTTCTTGGTTCTTTCGGTAAAGTCACGTAGAAGGGAAGTAATATTATTTTATTACGTTTTGTTTTTTATAATTTTTTTATTATTTTATTACTTCCCTTCTACGTGACTTTACCGAAAGAACCAAGAAGATGAATTCGTTACTAGTACAGCACTAACCGGTTGTGTGTTGTAGAGCAAAGCCACAACAACATTTACAATCTGAGTACGACTTTTCGCCAGTAATTACAACCAGCTTCATCAGGCGACGTGACAAACATTAGTAATTGGCTGTCAGGTGGTGGCGGGCGGGTTTAACGACACATTTATATATTTACGCGATCGAATGCAAAAAAACCTGTATTATGGACAATTGTAGACCGTTCGTCGCACCTGCACTGCCTTCGTCTTGAGGTCTTTGAGACGCTCCAGATCCTGCTTCTGTTTAGGATTGTGAGGTCCAGGTCCGATGAGCTGATGGTGGAGAGGGGAAAGAGAGGGGGCATAGTGAAAGAGGAGAGACACCGAGAGAGTGGGGGGAGAGAGAGAGGGGAGATGGTGGGGGTAGTGATGGAACAAAGTGTGGAGTGGCAAGGAGACAGAAGGGGGAGAAAGAGAGAGGGGAGAGCGGGAGGAGAGATTGCAGCAAGGGAAGAGATTGGAGAGAAGTGAGGTGAAAGGGCAACACAGGGAGGAGTCGAGAAAAGGGGAAATGGACATGGAGAGAATGGAGGAGAGAGGTGGGAGAGAGACAGGAGAGAAAAAACAGAGCGATCATCAACCACCACCACCACTAAAACCACCGTTCACTCTTTTTCCCTGTTCCAATGACGTCTGGCAAGTCGCAGGGTGTGGGTGGGTGTGTGGGTGGGTGTGTGGGTGGGTGTGTGGGTGTGTGGGTATGTGTGTGTGTGGGTGGGTGTGTGAGTATGTGTGTGGGTATGTGTGTGTGAGTGGGTGTGTGAGTATGTGTGTGGGTGTGTGGGTGTGTGGGTGGGTGTGGGTGTGTGGGTATGTGTGTGTGGGTGGGTGTGTGAGTATGTGTGTGGGTATGTGTGTGTGAGTGGGTGTGTGAGTATGTGTGTGGGTGGGTGTGTGGGTGTGTGTGCGATGGTGATAGCGGCGCTGTGATAGTGGTGACGGTGGTGATGGTGATGATAGTGGTGGTAGTGACGGTGACAGTAGTGATGGCTGTAATAGTGGTGATGGTGGTGATGGTAGTGATGGTGATCATCGCGGTGATGGTCATCTCAGTCAGCAAACCCATGGCACCTGCTGGGTCTGTCCAGAGACCTTCTTTCAACGAACCTTCGACACTTCACGTGGCCTCAAATTGAACCTGGCCTGGCACAGGCGCCGTGGTGCCATCATCATCACTTAGTGGCGAATGCTGGATTTTGGTATTGGTGGTGTTGTTGGTGATGGTGGTTATAGCTGTGATAGTGGTGATGGTGGTTGTCGTGATGGCTGTAATAGTGGTGATGGTGGTGGTGATAGTGGCGGTGATGGTGGTTATAGTGGTGGTGATAGCGGTGGTGATAGCGGTGGTGATAGTGGTGGTGATAGCAGTGGTCATGGCGGTTATAGCTGTTATAGTAGTGGTGATGGTGGTGGCAATGATGGTGATGATGGTAATAGTGGTTATAGCTGTGATAGTGTTGATGGTGGTGATGTTGGCGACGTTGGTGGCGACGGTGGAGGCGGCAAAGGTCGCGGCGATCGTGGCAACGGTGGTGATGGTGGTAGCGGAGAAGGTAGCGGAGATGGTGGCGGCAGTGATGGTGGCGGCAGCGATGGACTCTCACCGCTATCTGGGTGTCCAGGTCTCTGATGACATCGGCCACGGGCATGGGGTTTGAGAGGGGAAGCGTTGCCATGGCTACACAATAACACGATCACCAGAGCTGCGGAGAGACAATCAACACATGACCATTTATGTGATCTCACCCCAAGAAAAAAACCTATGTTACGGTTAAGACGAAGAGTTGCCAGGGGGGGGGGAGAAAGCCAAAGAGTCGCACTAAGTAGCAATAAGCCCACATTATCTCAATCCATAATACATTGGGTTTTTGTTGGGTTAGATTGCGTAAATGTAGAGGGGGTGCTTCAAAAAAATTGTAAACGCTTCTGAGACTTTGCAACAACAACGATGCTTCTGTCCGGGCTCTGGAGACCACCTGGAGAAGATTCCGGGCAACGCGTTGACAACGATGGCGAGCAAGTGGGAGAAACTCTTTGACTTTTTGAAGCTATTAACATAAACATTTGTTATCGTATTACAGGGTATTATTATCCGTTACTTTTCCATTAAAAACGATAGTCCCACGTAAGTGTTTACATTTTTTTGAAGCGCCGCGCATAAATGTGTCGTTAAACACGCCAACACACGACGCAGCCAATTAGTGAGGTTCAGTGTCACGTAAACAGAACGTGGCCAATTCGTTACGAGCACAGCACACACCGCTGCGTTGGAGAGTAAATCCACCACAACATTTACACATCCGAGTACGACGTTTCGCCAGTAACTATTGTTTTGATGCCGATTGTAATTACTGGTGAAAAGTCGTACTCAGATTGTAAATGTTGTGGCTTTGCTCTCCAATAGCCCCGGCCACTTCTTTATGACCCTTGGGCTACACCCATTTCAAACCTTTTAAAAACAATCTGCCTCAGCAGCAGACCATGCTTTTTTATTCGATGACAGACACATGCGTTGCGCCCGAAACGTCGTGATTTATTTCATACCGTACGTGACTTTACCTAAAGAACCAAAGAGCATGCTCTGGTAAATATATTAGCATTGAAACAGATTGGTCCACACCAGAGACGGCTTTCTTTAGAGCCGAGTCTCAAACGGCGTTAGACCAGAGGTCAACGCCTAAATGTGACCAGCACCAGGGCAATTCCACTGTCACAGGACATTGAGAGCTGGGGGTGAGAAGCAGCTTCACCATGAAACCTCCCCTTGCCGGTATCAAAATACTCTGTTTTTTTTCGGTAAAGTCACGTAGGTAAAACAATTCAAATAAATTAAATCACGACGTTTCGGGCGCAACACAAGCGTCCTTCTTCAGGTGGGGACAACTTAGCGAAAGCACAACCGCTTAATTTTGTTGACCTACGTATGAATCCTTGCCGTCACGAAAACTTCAAATCTAGTATTCTTAGGTTTTTTCGGTAAAGTCATGTAGGTAAAAACTTTAAAAAGTTAAATAAAATACTTTTTAATGTTTTTACCTACGTGACTTTACCGAAAAAACCTAAGAATATGAATCCTTGCAGTCACGAAAGCTTCAAATCTAGAATTCAAATCTAGTGTCTAAATATGCAGACGCGATTCCTTGGAAAAGGTTTCAGTTTGGTGTTTAGAACACCTTAACACAACTCCTGCTTTATTATGGCCAGTAAAACCTATTCTTATCTTTTGATATACTGGCAAGGGAGGTCCAAATGATGTAAGCAACAATGCTGTTTATAAACAGAACGCCGCCACTAAAACACCCACCCCCCCCCCTCGCCTGACCACCCTGCGGGAAACGCCGCACTCGCGCGGGCAGGGAAAACAAGGCCGACGGGGGTGAGGGGTAAGTCGGGCTCGGGGAAATGTTCGGGGAACTCTCCCTCGCCGGTCTCTCTGCTGGTCCCCTCGGACTCCGAGAGAACCTTGGGGATAGGAGGGGACCTAGAGGACCACCCTGGGAGACAAACACGGACGGGAGGGAAGAGGATAAGAAGAGAGAACGGGAGACCGAGCGAGTGAAGCCTACCGATTGCAGATGGAGGCGCGGGCAACCCACAATGCAGCGCGCGCTTTTGGGGGGTGGGGTGGGCGGGGAGGGGCGGGCTTGGTTCGTCACGTGCACTCATTAACATAAAGTAGGCGGTAATGTGCATAAAGTAACATAAATTAACATATATTAACATATATCAACATAAATTAGACATGCGATTAACATAAATTAACGTGGCGGTTCCGATCCAGATTTGGCACGGTACTACCAATTCTAGATTTGAAGCTTTCGTGACTGCAAGGATTCATATTCTTAGGTTTTTTCGGTAAAGTCACGTAGGTAAAAAATTTAAATTAATAAAAGTAAAATAAAATAAAAATCACGACGTTTCGGAGGCAACACAAGCTTCCGTCTTCAGGTGGAACCGTCACAGCTGTCGGGAATATATACAGGATCTGTATATCTGGTACAAAAGATGTATTACCGAAGCTATCAACAGAAGGTGCATGTACGGGATTAACTGCACGTGTGGCAAATGTTAGGTTGGGCAAACAGGATGAATGGATCAGCACGAGAATAAAAGAACATCAGAGAAATATTAGATTATACTCTTTGATTCTTTCGGTAAAGTCACGTGGGTAGAAAAATAATAAATTCTTCTTGGTTCTTTCGGTAAAGTCACGTAGAATGGAAATAATAAAATAATAAAACAATAAAATAATTCTCACGACGTTTCGGCCACAACGCAAGCAGCCGTCCTCAGGTGAAGAACAGGTCTGTCAGCACCTGAGGACGGCTGCTTGCGTTGTGGCCGAAACGTCGTGAGAATTATTTTATTATGTTTTCTTTTTATTATTTTATTATTTCCATTCTACGTGACTTTATCGAAAGAACCAAGAAGATGGATCCCTGCAGTCACGAAAGCTTTAAATCGAAAAATAATAAATTGTTATTTTTTTCCATCTGAGGACGACGGCTTGTGTTGCAATCGAAACGTCGTGATTTTGTATTTTATATATATTTTTTAATGTATATTTTTTAAAAATTCATTTTTTTTTCTACCCACGTGACTTTTACCGAAAGAACCAATGAGTATGGATTCCTGCAGGCACGAAAGCTTGAAATTGAAATATGAAATACTCCCAAATGCAACTGTCAGCAGTAGCAGAACACGCGTGCCAACAAGGGCACTCAATTGACTTTGATACTGGTAGGAACCTCCTGGTTACACCAGCCCACAGGGGATTATTGTGTCCGTCCGTCCATCGTGAAGGGAGGGGCTGGGTGGTAAGGGAGGGGCTGGGTGGGGAGGGGAGGGGCTAGGTGGGGAGGGTGGGGCTGGGTGGGGAGGGGAGGGTGGGGAGGGGCTGGGTGGGGAGGGTGGGGCTGGGTGTGGAGGGGCTGGTCACCCCGTGGTGCCCTTATAAAACTCAACGTTTAACCTACTCACGCCGGCTTGTGCCCGCCCTTACAGTCGGCCATATTTGCTGAATACACCACGCCGCGGTTGACCCTGCAGGCCATTGACCGAGCAACCCAACGTTCCTACCAGCTCCCTCCGCAGGAATGTGTTAATGTTGAAGTTCTGTGCAAAACTAGCTACTACTGGCCAAGACTAATTAGATAATCTATCGAAATTGAAAGAAATCAAAATAACATCTTAACACAGCTGTTTTGTTGCCAGAAAAAAGGGGAAAAACCTATTATCAAATCAAAATAACTTTAACCAATTCGGATAACTACTGTCTGAGTGCTGCGTGGAAGCGAATCATCAAATAATACATTCTTTAAATGCTTGCCTACAAAGGGCAGCGTACTTCAATAGGTATTACCATTGGTAGGGCTATTTTAATCAACACAATAGACAGGAAAGACAAGATCAAATGGTTCGCATAATGCACACGCAGAATGTACGTTGACTCAGTAATCCCCTCCCCCCACTTTGTGCAAGAGCGCAAAAGAGTGGTAACCACATCTATGCCTCTATATAAGGAACGAAACAGGTGGACTTCACAAATTTGGCTGTTGCCTGATGAAGCTAGTTGTAATTACTGGCGAAACGTCGTACTCATATTGTAAATGTTGTGGCTTGGCTCTCCAACACACAACCGGTGTGCTGTACTAGTATACTACACTATACACTACACTGTACACTACACCATACACTACACTATACACTACACTATACACTACACTACACACTACACTATACACTACACTATACACTACTATACACTACACGATACACTACACTATACACTAGTGCTGTACTAGTATACTACACTATACACTACACTATACACTACACACTAAACTATACACTAGTGCTGTACTAGTATACTGCACTATACACTACACTACACACTAGTGTTGTACTAGTGACGAATTGGCCACGTTCTGTTTACGTGACGACCCTTACTAGTTGGCTGTGTCGGGTGGTGGCGGGTTTTAACGACACATTTATATATTTACGCGATCTAACCCAAAAACCTATATTATGAGTGTAGTGTATATTAGTGTAGTGTATAGCAGTGTAGTGTATAGTGTAGTGTACAGTGCAATATATATAGTAGTGTAGTGTATAGTGTAGTGTACAGTGTAATGTATATAGTAGTGTAGTGTATAGTGTAGTGTACAGTGCAATATATATAGTAGTGTAGTGTATAGTCAGTAAGAAGTGTGATGAACGTGTAACGGAAACCCACATCGGACATGTGTGATATAAGTTCAACACGTTTACTACTGTATATAAACTAATCTCACACCCCCCCCCCCCCCTTCGCTCTGGAACATTGTCACGCACACCAACGGGTTAATGTTCCCCAACCCCGGTTGAGAGGCACGAAATTCTAAGGGACGCTTTTTTAAATCCTTTATATTAAGTTCGCTTGTTTGCTTACGACCGTGCAAATCTTTCGGTCGTTTTTTAACCCACTTCCCGTGATCCAATCGAGCTGACATTTTCCACACAGACTCGTTGTGCGTGACAATTATTGTTCGTGAAATTTTTTTCAAAAATGTTACACTTTTTAGGACAAAAATATTATATTTAATTACCAATTGCTTAATGGTGCAATGCAATCATCTGACCCATAGGTGGCAGCCATCTCAAGCCAGAGGACGAGAGGACTCTAGCCGCCACGCATATAAAGGATTTATAATGAAAAACTTTGTTTTTACGGGTTAATTTTTTTCGCCGATGTCAGAAGACGCAAGGGGTCGCTATTGCCGTGGTCGTGTGGACGTTTTTAGGGGGAGTGGTGGCGCAATGGTTAGCGTCACTGCGCTAATATTGCATCTACATCCCCTCGGTCGTGTACCGTTCCGGCCTTCATAGGTGCTCGCTAACAGCACTTGCCCCTACAGGCTACACGGGGAATCTTTGTCTTGTGTCTCTCTAACTCTGTGTATGTATGCAGTCGCTGTGTGAGCGAGGTGTGTGTGTGTCTCTAAGTCTGTGTGTGTGTGTGTCTCTCGCTGTCTGTTTCTATTGTCTGTGTGTGTATGTGTGTAGAGGGAGACAAAGGTGACCGGGCGTGGTGCCGGCCACCCCACCCCCCCCCCTCGTGTGTCGTTGATGCTGCTTGCTGGCAGCACTTTGCCCCAGCAGCCTGTTGAGGCTACACGGGGGATCTTTGTCTTCACGAGTGTGTTTATCGAGTTATTCTGGGTGTAGCACGAGTTATGACCACTTTAGGATCGCACCTGAGGCGAGGCATCACCTTCCTCGCAGTCGCCTCTGGGAACGTTGCGAAAGAAGTTCTACATACATACACTACACGACACTCTACACTCTACAATATACACTACAATACACACTACGTTGCACCCCAAGATGAACAGGGAATGGCTCCGACTCCCGGCCATGTAGTTTTATCCGGACCCGCTCACCATCATGAAGGTACTTAATGATCGTGAGCAGAGGGTCAGGGACCCCGAAAGCACGAAGAACAACCCAGAGCCCAGGCCTACTGGTGGTATCATAGGCCTTGACCAGGTCAATAAAGCAGAGATGTAGGTCTTGTTGGAATATCCCTATACCTCTGCTGTAGCAGACGGACAGAAAATATGGTATCTGTGCAGGACCACCCTTTCTTGATTCCTGAAGCTGCATTGGGGCTCCACAAGCCTCTCCTCAGCGTGCCTGGCATGGCGATGTTGAATAATCCTTGCCAGGACCTTTCCCGTCACACTAAGGAGTGAGATGCAGTTATTACAGTCTGTGTAGTCCCCCTTCTTAAAGAGGGGGACCACCAGGGCATCCATCCAATCCTGCTAAACCTGTCCAGTGGTCCAGGCTGTTGTTATGATGTCATGTAGGGCAGTTTGTGCACAAACGCCACCCTCAGCATTCGCTAGGGAGATCATCTCTGCCCGGTGCGTAGTGTCTGAACACCTCCTCTGTCAGCCAGGGTCTCTGGGGAGGTCTGGACCGTCTACCGAAAGCAGCCATTACAGCAGGATGAGCCACAGTCCTAAATCTCGCCCATTTCCCCTCGACATCAGGAAGAGTGGGAGACGATGCCAACCCCAGCCGCAAGCGATGATGAAATTCTCGCTTGCAACTTTCATCAACTAGCTGAGACCAGGCCACTTTGGCTTTGAATGGGGTCCTGGGTGGACACCCACCACCGAAGTGGATGAATGGCTGGCGCATCTTACAGATAACGAGTCGATGGTCAGTGGACAGATCAGCTCCACGGTAGGTCCTGGTGTCAAGGACATAGGCCCCCATCCGCTGTTCCGTCACTATGTAGTCCAGCAGATATTTTTGCTTGGACCCAGCATGCATCCATGTTGTTGTGTGGATGCGCCGATGCCAGAACAGCGTGTTGGTAATTACAAGCCCATGGGCTGCACAAAAATCTAGCCGCCGCCTACCGTTGTTCTTGAGCTGATCTGGCCCATGCCTTCCAATCACTCCAGACCAGGTGCCAGCATCATGACCAAGTCGGGCATTGAAGTCACCCAACAAGATGACTCTGTCCCGAGGGGCCACTTTAGCCAGCACCTGTGACAGGTCATAGAAGGGATCTGACTCATCAGCCTTGTCTGCATCCCTCCACGGATGTTCATCTTCGGTGGGGGCATAAGTAACCACGACCACCACTCCCCACCTCTGGTTGATGGGAAGGCGAGCCCAAAGTAGCCTGGGGCTTATGGCTTCCCACACCTCATTGCCACGCTTTGTTCAGAAGAGCCACTTCCTGTTGTTTGGCAGTTTCCTTCCCCGAGAAGAGGACTGTCCACCCCTCATGTTGGCAGGAGCCAGAGCCAGTCTACCGGACCTCCTGAAAGCTACATAGATCCAGGCGGTACCGGTCCAGCTCCCGACAAAGGAGTGGCAGCCTCTCCTCCGCAGTGAGCATTCGAACATTCCACGTGGCCATCCGAAGTGGCTTTTGTTGTTTCTGGAGGAGCCTCGAGGGTAAGGATACAGTCTCCTCGCTCCGCCAAATGGGGTTTGGCCTTGGAGACGTCATAAATACCACCATGGCCTCCGGCACAAGCTTAATTAGATTTTTATTACGTGGTTTACTGGTACATGGATTGAAGGTGGAGGGGTTACCAGTCCCTTGCACCCGTCCAGAGCCTAATTTGGCCGCTGTGGTGGCTACAAACGCCATGAGGGAAATGGCCAATTGCAATTGGCCCTCCCCCCACGGCACTGCTCACCACAGCGTTACCGTCCGGCACCAATGAGGAGGTATGGCGATATGTTGCCAGACACACAGACAAACCCACAAGTACACACACAGACACACACACTCGTACACACACAGACACACACACTCGTACACACACAGACACACACAGACACACACACTCGTACACACACAGACACACACACACGTACACACACAGACACACACAGACACACACACATATACACACAGACACACACAGACACACACACTCGTACACACACAGACACACCCACTCGTACACACACAGACACACACAGACACACGCAGACACATGTCCACACACACAGACACACACAGACACACACACTCGTACACACACAGACACACACACTCGTACACACACAGACACACACACTCGTACACACACAGACACACACAGACACACACAGACACACACACTCGTACACACACAGACACACCCACTCGTACACACACAGACACACACAGACACACGCAGACACACGTCCACACACACAGACAGACACACACACACATATATACACACGTGCACACACAGAGACATACACACACAGACACACATGCACACACAAACAAAGATAAAGATCCCCCATATAGCCTCAACAGACTGTAGGGGCAAGTGCTGTTAGCGAGCACCTATAAAGGCCGGAACGGCACACGAGGGGGTGGGTGGCCAACACCACGCCCGGCCGCCTTTGTCTCCCTAGTGCGGATGTTCGCTACACACCGCACCAGGTACTAATTTGAGGCTGAGTCGACCTAGGGGAGGCCCAGGACCGGTTCAGATAATCGTTCAGTTGGCCGTGAGCGGGAATCGAACCCGGCGACCCGCACACACACACAGGTACACGTAGAGACACGCCTACACACACACATACACGCACACACACGCACACACACAGGTACACGCAGAGACACGCCTACACACATAGACACACACGCACACACACATATAGACACACACACACACAGACACACACGCACACACACACACATAGACACACACGCACACACACGCACACACACAGGTACACGCAGAGATACGCCCACACACATAGACACACGCACATAGACACACACGCACATACATACACACACACACACACACATAGACACACACGCACATACATACACACTCACACACACACACGCACATACACACACACACATAGACACACGCACACATACACACACACATAGACACACGCACATAGACACACACGCACATACACACACACGCACATAGACACACGCACACATACACACACACGTACACGCACGCACACACATAGACACACACGCACATACACACACACGCACATAGACACACACACACATAGACACACACGCACATAGACATAGACACACACGCACATACACACACACACATAGACCCACACGCACACACACACACGCACACACACACAGGTACACGCAGAGACAGGCCCACACACATAGACACACGCACATAGACACACGCACATACACACACACGCACATAGACACACACACATAGACACACACAATAGACACACGCACACACATAGACACACACGCACATACACACACACACATAGACACACGCACACACATAGACACACACGCACATACACATACGCACACACAGACACACACGCACATAGACACACACGCACATAGACACACACGCACATACACACACATAGACACACACGCACATACACACACACATAGACACACACGCACATAGACACACACGCACATACACACACACGCACATAGACACACACGCACATAGACACACACGCACATACACACACACACACAGACACACACGCACACACACAGGTACACACATAGACACGTCCACGTGCGTAATCACCGTCACGGCGGTCACACCCCCAGTGAGTCGTCACAGGAGTGGGTGGGGCGGAGCTGCTGCTGGTGCCTCTGAGCTTGAAGGAGGAGGAGGGTAGGGGAGGGGCAGAGTGGGGGGGGGGGGGTAGAGAGGAGGGGGGGTAGAGTGGGGGGTAGAGAGGAGGGGGGGGGGCAGAGTGGGAGGGGTAGAATGGGGGGGGGGGTAGAGTGGGGGGTGGGTAGAGTGGGTGGGTAGAGTGGGGGGGGGGGGTAGAGTGGGGGGGGGGGTAGAGTGGGTGGGTAGAGTGGGTGGGTAGAGTGGGGGGGGTAGAGTGGGGGGGGGGGTAGAGTGGGAGGGGCAGAGTGGGGGGGGGGGTAGAGTGGGAGGGGCAGAGTGGGTGGGGTAGAGTGAGGGGGGGGGGGTAGAGTGGGGGGGTAGAGTGGGGGGGGAGTGGGGGGGGAGACGAAGCGAGAGGCAGCTGAGGTATGGATGAGCCCGGTCCGGTCTGTGTTGAAGAGTCGCAAACGTGAATTGGACTGTGAGTGTTTATATGTCCACACACTCACTCAGTGTATACACACAGACTCAGTACACACACAGACTACACACACACAGACTCAGTACACACACAGACTACACACACACTCACTCAGTGTATATACACACACAGACTACACACACACAGTATACACACACAGACTACACACAAACTGTGAGTGTTGATATGTCCACACACTGACACAGACTACACACACACACTCAGTATATATACACACAGACTACACACACTCAGTGTATATATACACACAAACTACACACAGACTACACACACACAGTATACACACTCACACAGACTACACACACACACAGTATACACACACAGACTACACACACACTCACTCAGTGTATATACACACACAGACTACACACACACAGTATATACACACAGACTACACACAAACTGTGAGTGTTTATATGTCCACACACTCACACAGACTACACACACACAGTATACATACACACAGACTACACACACACTCAGTGTATATACACACACAGACTACACACACACACAGTATATACACACAGACTACACACACACTCACTCAGTGTATATACACACACAGACTACACACACACACAGTATATACACACAGACTACACACAAATTGTGAGTGTTTATATGTCCACACACTCACACAGACTACACACACACTCACACAGACTGTATACAAACACACAGAGACACTCTCACACAGATTTAGAGAGAGACACACACTACACACACACAGCACTACACACACAACACACAGACACTAACACACAGCACTACACACAGACACTACACACACAGCACTACACACACACAACACTACACACACAACACTACACACACACAGCACTACACACACAACACTACACACACACAACACTACACACACACAACACTACTACACACACACCACTACACACACACACAACACTACACACACAGACAACACTACACACACACTACACACGCACAACACTACACACACACACAACACTACACACACACTACACACACAACACTACACACACACAACACTACACACACACAACACTACACACGCACACACCACTACACTACACTCACACACTACACACAGACACACAGACACTACACACATAGCACTACACTCACACAAAACTACACACACAACACTACACACAGACATACAACACTACACACACAACACTACACACACACACAACACTACACACAAACAACACTACACACACACAACACTACACTCACACACACTACACACAGACACACAGCACTACACACACACAGCACTACACACACACAGCACTACACACACACACAACACTACACACACACAGCACTACACACACACAGCACTACACACACACACAACACTACACACAGACAACACTACACACACACAATACTACACACACACACAACACTACACACAGACAACACTACACACAGCACTACACTCACACAAAACTACACACACAACACTACACACACACACAACACTACACACACTCACACACACTACACACAGACACTACACACACAGCACTACACTCACACAAAACTACACACACAAAACTACACACACTACACACACAACACTACTCACACACACACTACACTCACACAAAACTACACACACACAGCACTCGCACACAGCACTCACACACACACACACACTACACACACTACACACACACACTAAACACACACACTAAACACACAACACATACACCGAGTGTAATACGAGATATAACCACACCCTGAGTGATCACACACGCACACGTGTACACTCATTGCCCTTATTGTGTGTGTGTCTGTGTGTGTCGACTCAGCTTCAAATGAGTACCTGGTGCGGTGTGTAGTGAACATCGCCACTAGGGAGACAAAGGCGGCCGGGCGTGGTGCTGGCCACCCACCCCCTCGTGTGCCACCGTTCCGGCCTTCATAGGTGCTACTCGCTAACAGCACTTGCCCCAACAGTCTGTTAAGGCTACACGGGGGATCTTTGTCTTGTGTCTTTCTAACTTTGTGTATGTATGCAGTCGCTGTGTGTGTGTATGTATAGTTTGTGTGAGTGTGTGTGTCTCTAAGTATGTGTGAGAATGTGTGTCTCTCTAAGTCTGTCTGTGTATATTGTCTATGTGAGTGTGTTGTCTGTGTGAGTGTGTGAGTGTGTGTCTCTCTAAGTCTGTGTGTGAGTGTGTGTCTCTCTCTGTCTGTATCTATAGTATGTGTGAGTGTGTTGTCTGTGTGTATATAGTCTGTGTGAGTGTGTGTCTAAGTCTGTGTGAGTGTGTGTGTCTCTCTAAGTATATGTGAGTGTCTCTCTCTAAGTCTGTGTGTGAGTGTGTGTCTCTCTCTGTCTGTATCTATAGTCTCTGTGTGTATGTGTTGTCTGTGTGTATATAGTCTGTGTGAGTGTGTCTCTAAGTCTGTGTGAGTGTGTCTCTAAGTCTGTGTGAGTGTGTGTGTCTCTCTAAGTATATGTGAGTGTCTCTCTCTAAGTCTGTGTGTGAGTGTGTGTCTCTCTCTGTCTGTATCTATAGTCTCTGTGTGTGCGTGTTGTCTGCGTGCGTATAGGGAGACAAAGGCGGCCGGGCGTGGTGCTGGCCACCCACCCCCTGGTGTGCCGTACCGGCCTTCATAGCTCGCTACTCGCTCACAGCACTTGCCCCTACCGCCTGCTAGAGGCTACACAGGGGACCTTTGGTGAGCGGTGGTGCAGCGGTTAGCACGGTGATGACCGGTCTCCATGGTGATGACTGGTCTCCATGGTGATGACCGGTCACCATGGTGATGACCGGTCTCCATGGCGATGCCCGGTCTCCATGGTGATGACCGGTCTCCATGGTGATGATCGGTCTCCACGGTGATGCCCGGTCTCCATGGCGATGACCGGTCTCCATGGTGATGATCGGTCTCCATGGTGATGACCGGTCTCCATGGTGATGATCGGTCTCCATGGTGATGCCCGGTCTCCATGGTGATGATCGGTCTCCATGGTGATGAACGGTCTCCATGGTGATGACCGGTCTCCATGGTGATGAACGGTCTCCATGGTGATGACCGGTCTCCATGGCGATGACCGGTCTCCATGGTGATGACCGGTCTCCATGGCGATGCCCGGTCTCCATGGTGATGACCGGTCTCCATGGTGATGACCGGTCTCAATGGCGATGCCCGGTCTCCATGGTGATGAACGGTCTCCATGGTGACGAGAACATGGAATGTGTTGGCCATGTGCCCGAGCAGCAACAGTCAAATCAGGTCGCATTAATTATGGATGGAATTTCCCCGGCCATAGAAATGTGTAATTTGAGACCAGTGGCGCTAGCGCTGCCGCTGCTAACAACAGCCAACAACAACCAACAACAGCTAACAACAACAGCTAACAACAACAGCTAACAACAACAGCTAACAATAGCTAACAACAACAGCCAACAACAGCTAACAACAACAACTAACAACAGCTAACAACAGCCAACAACAGCTAACAACAACAACTAACAACAACAGCTAACAACAGCTAACAACAACAGCTAACAACAGCTAACAACAACAGCTAACAACAGCTAACAACAACAGCTAACAACAACAGCTAACAACAACAGCTAACAACAGCTAACAACAACAGCCAACAACAGCCAACAACAACAGCTAACAACAACAGCCAACAACAGCTAACAACAGCTAACAACAACAGCCAACAACAGCCAACAACAGCTAACAACAGCTAACAACAACAGCTAACAACAGCTAACAACAACAGCCAACAACAACTAACAACAGCTAACAACAATAGCCAACAACAACTAACAACAACAACCAACAACAGCTAGCAACAACAGCCAACAACAGCTAACAACAGCTAACAACAACAGCTAACAACAGCTAACAACAACAGCTAACAACAACAGCTAACAACAACAACTAACAACAGCTAACAACAACAGCAGCAGCGGCCTTCTTGCAAATGGCGTCACGGACCGCCCATTTCCCGTAGTGGGAAGTGAGGGGAATTGTGGGAACGGTCGACTCGGAGCTGTTGGTTGAGAAGAGAAAAAAAGTAAACCCGTAAAAACAAAGTTTTTCACTATAAATCCTTTATATGCGTGGCGGCTAGAGTCCTCTCGTCCTCTGGCTTGAGATGGCTGCCACCTATGGGTCAGATGATTGCCTGCCACCATTAAGCAATTGGTAATTAAATATTATTTATTTTCTCCTAAAAAGTGTAAAATTTAGGAAAACATTTTCACGAAAATTAAGTGTCACGCACAACGAGTCTGTGTGCAAAATGTCAGCTCGATTGGATCACGGGAAGTGGGTTAAAAAACGACCGAAAGATTTGCACGGTCGTAAGCGCGCAAGAAAGCAAGCAAGTGAACTTAATATGAAGGATTTAATATAAGACGAGAAACAACGATGCCAGAGACGAGACTGCTTTGTCACGGTGGCCGTGCCGTAGACAATGCGGTGGCGGGTTCAGACTGGACCCACCTGAGTTCAAACCGGGTTCTCGAGTGTCATATCTAGACTCACGCGGAGAGCCATAGACTCGCGCGGAGAGCCATAGACTCACACAGAGAGCCATAGACTCACACAGAGAGCCATAGACTCATAGAGAGCCATAGACTCACGCAGAGAGCCATAGACTCATGGCTCTCTGTGTGAGTCTATGGGACTCACACAGAGAGTTATAGACTCACATAGAGAGAGCGATACACTCACACAGAGAGCCATAGACTCACACAGAGACCCATAGACTCACACAGAGAGCCATAGACTCACGCAAAGAAACATAGACTCACACAGAAAGCCATAGACTCATAGAAAGAGCCATAGACTCACAGAGCCATAGACTCACATAGAGAGTCATAGACTCACACAGAGAGCCATAGACTCACACAGAGACCCATAGACTCACACAGAGAGCCATAGACTCACGCAGAGAGACATAGACTCACACAGAGAGCCATAGACTCATAGAAAGAGCCATAGACTCACAGAGCCATAGACTCACGCAGAGAGTCATAGACTCACACAGAGAGCCATAGACTCAAACAGAGCACCATAGACTCACACAGAAACCCATAGACTCGCACAGAGAGCCATAGACTCACATAGAGAGCCATAAACTCACACAGAGAGCCATAGACTCACACAGAGCCCCATAGACTCACACAGAAACTCATAGACTCACACAGAGAGGCATAGACTCACACAAAGACACATAGACTCACACAGAGAGCCATAGACTCACACAGAGACCCATAGACTCACACAGAAACCCATAGACTCGCACAGAAACTCATAGACTCACACAGAGAGGCATAGACTCACACAAAGACACATAGACTCACACAGAGAGCCATAGACTCACACAGAGACCCATAGACTCACACAGAGAGCCATTGACTCACAGAGCCATATACTCACGCGGAGAGCCATAGACTCATACAGAGAGCCATAGACTCACGCGGAGAGCCATAGAATCATACAGAGAGCCATAGACTCGCACAGAGAGCCATATAATCACACAGAGCCCCATAGACTCACACAGAGAGCCATAGACTCACGCGGAGAGCCATAGACTCACACAGAGAGCCACAGACTCACACAGAGAGCCATAGACTCACGCGGAGAGCCATAGACTCATACAGAGAACCATAGACTCACACAGAGAGCCATAGACTCATACAGAGAACCATAGACTCACACAGAGACCCATAGACTCACACAGCGAGTCATAGACACACAGAGAGTCATAGACTCATACAGAGAGCCATAGATTCACCACATAGAGAGACATAGACTCACACAGAGAGCCATAGACTTACACAGAGAGCCACAGACTCACGGAAAGAGCCATAGACTCACACCAGAGAACCATAGACTCACACAAAGAGGCATAGACTCACACAGAGAGCCATAGACTCACACAGAGAGCCATAGACACAGAGAGCCATAGACTCACAAAGTCCCACAGACTCTTCACACAGAGACCCATAGACTCACCACATAGAGACCCATAGATTCATCAGCAGATATCCAAAGACTCGCCACACAACTAAGGACAGAGGATCGACGCTCACAACAACGAGCAGAGCGCCGAACGGCTAAAATACACTTACACACCGCTATACACACACACAGCACTACACACACAGCACTACACACACAGCCCTACACACACACAGCACTACACACACACAGCACTACTACAACTAACTACCACTACTACTCCCACCACTACTACTCCCACCACTACTATTACTACCACTACTATTACCACCACTACGAACCCACTACCACTACTACTACCACCACTACTACCACCACTACTATCCCTACTACCACTACTACTACTATTACCACTACTACTACTACCACCAATACTACTACCACCACTACTACTACTATCCCTACTACCACTACTATTACCAACACTACTACTACTACCACCACTACTACCACCACTACTATCCCTACTACAACTACTACTTCCGCCACTACTAATACCACCACTACAACCACCGCTACTATTACCACCACCACTACCCCTACTACTACCGCCACTACCACACGTGTCCCGCTAACGATGACGATACCACCATTGTGGACAGAACTCTACCGATGATAAAAATGATTCCAATGGTGATGGTGATGATGCGAACGCCCATTCTTCCTCCTCCTGTTGCAGATTCCTGCCCGTCGCGGACTGCCGCAAGCATGAGTTGGAGCCTGCTCAACGATGTCCTTAAGAACGTGGCCAAGTATGAAACGGCAGTCGGAAAGGTTCGTTCCTTTTGTCGAGATGTTAACGACCTCGTCTGGTGTGCAGGAGGTCGTGGGTTCGATCCCGACCCCGATGACGCCTGCTGCTGTATATTTGGAATTTGTATGTCTCTCTCATCATCATCACGGTGGCTAGGAGATGTTAACGACCTGGCCTGGTATGCAGGAGGTCGTGGGTTCGATCCCGACCCCGATGACGCCTGCTGCTGTATATTTGGAGTTTGCATCTCTCTCTCATCATCATCATCACGGTGGCTAGGAGATGTTAACGACCTCGCCTGATATGCAGGAGGTCGTGGGTTCGATTCAGACCCTGATGCCTACTGCTGTATATGTGGAATTTGTATGTCTCTCTCATCATCATCATCACGGTGGCTAGGAGATGTTAACGACCTCGCCTGGTATACAGGAGGTCGTGGGTTCGATGCCGACCCTGATGCCTGCTGCTGTATATTTGGAATTTGTATGTCTCTCTCATCATCATCACGGTGGCTAGGAGATGTTAACGACCTCGCCTAGTATACAGGAGGTCGTGGGTTCGATCCCGACCCTGACGATGCCTGGAGTTTGAGTGTCTCTCTCTATACCCCTGGTCGCGTGCATTTCTCTATGGGTCCCTCCGGGATTTCCCTACACATTTGGAATCAACGTCACCACGCGCTAAGAGTATTGGGCTGCTGCTATACATTCCCACGTGATGATGATGCTGACGATGATAAGCCCACTTGGTTGAGTCATCATTTGTGATAGGGTCGCTTCTGAGAATGAGCTACGTAGTCTCAAGTTGGCCTCACCTGGTAAAATAAAAAATAAAAAAATTCGTTTAAAGTATCCCCGTGTCTCCCAACCACGTGCTATCAGCGTTGTCCAATGGGCATCGTCTATGTAGCCCCAACCACGTGCTACCAGCGTTGTCCAATGGGCATCGTCTATGTAGCCCCAACCACGTGCTACCAGCGTTGTCCAATGGGCATCGTCTATGTAGCCCCAACCACGTGCTACCAGCGTTGTCCAATGGGCATCGTCTATGTACCCCCAACCACGTGCTCTCAGCGTTGTCCAATGGGCATCGCCCGTGTCTCCCAACCACGTGCTATCGGCGTTGTCCAATGGGAATCGTCGGTGTCCCCAACCACGTTCTATCGGCGTTGTTCAACGGGCAATCGTCGACGTCGCTGTCCGCCGCGTGCGCTGCGCAGGTCTGGCTGTCGGTGCTGCTCATCTTCCGGCTGCTGGTGCTCGTCGCCGTGGCGGACAAGGTCTACTCGGACGAGCAGAAGGAGTTCGAGTGCAACACGCGGCAGCCGGGATGCAAGTACGCAAGCGGGAGCATGCGTACACACACACGCCACACACACACGCCACACACACGCCACACACATACACGCCACATGCGCCACACATACACGGCGCACACACACGCCACACACACACGCCACACACACGCCACACACATACACGCCACACACACACGTGCCACACACACGCCACACACACGCCACACACATACACGCCACATACGCCACACACAGACGTGCCACACACACGCCACACACACACGCCACACACACACGGCACACACACACGCCACCCACACACGCCACACACACACGCCACACACACACGTGCCACACACACGCCACACACACATGCACGCCACACACATACACGCCACATACGCCACACACAGACGTGCCACACACACGCCACACACACACGCTACACACACACACGGCACACACACACGCCACCCACACACGCCACCCACACACGCCACACACACACGCCACACACACGCCACACACACATGCACGCCACACACACACACGTGCCACACACACGCCACACACACACGTCACACACATACACGCCACACACACACACGCCACACACACACGCCACACACACACGCCACATACGCCACACACACACGTGCCACACACACGCCACACACACACGACACACACATACACGCCACACACACACACACGCCACACACACACACATACACGCCACATACGCCACACACACACGTGCCACACACACGCCACACATACACACGCCACACACACACGCCACACACACACGCCACACACACACGTCACACACATACACGGCACACACACACACGTCACACACATACACGCCACACACATACACGCCACACACACACGTGCCACACACACGCCCCACACACACGCCACACACACACGCCACACACACACACGCCACACACACACGCGCACACAGAGCAAGCATCACTCAAGCTGACCCCCACGACGACCCCAACCCCACGAGGCTGACTCACTGCATCTAGCGGAGGATTGCTCCTCTGAGCAAAATAGTTCGCCTTTAATTTGTCGCAATTAGGAGGTTTTTTTTAGTTGATGTTTTTTTGGCCTTTTCTTTTTTTTCATGGAAATTGGTTCGTAAGTAAGTGCAGGGTGTTCGTAAGTGCGGGCGTTTGTAAGTGCTGGGCATTCGTAAGTCTGGCATTCGTAAGTGCGGGTGTTCATAAGTACAGGCGTTCGTATGTATGGATGGTGTTCGTAAGTATGGGTGGTGTTCATAAGTATGGGTGGTGTTCAAAAGTACTGGTGTTCATAAGTATGGGTGGCATTCATAAGTACGGGTATTCGTAAGTGTGGGTGTTCATAAGTACGGGCGTTCGTAAGTACGGATGGTGTTCGTAAGTATGGGTGGCGTTCATAAGTACGGGTGTTCGTAGATACGGGTGTTCATAAGTGTGGGCGTTTGTAAGTCTGGCGTTCGTAAGCACGGGTGGCGTTCGTAAGTGCGGGCATTGGTAAGTGCAGGTATTCGTAAGTACTGGTGGCGTTTGTAAATACGGGTGGTGTTCGTAAATGCGGGTGGCGTTCGTAAGAGCGGGCGTTCGTAAGTATGGGTGTTCATAAGTCGAGGACTGTCTGTACTCCGGTTTATACTTTCCACAATGTAGAGGACCGCAGACGCTTGTGCCAATTGTTGGCAGCCGTCCCTGGCAGCGTGCATCATTAATGGCCAACTCATAGTGGTATACAAACGACTCTGTTTATATTTACTTATTCGTCCAGGGAAGATGTATCCGAATGATTAATCTTTTATTCATCCTGGAGCAATCGGATGATCAATGAAACTCTTGTTTTTAGTCACAGATGTCCCAGTTGGGGCACGGGGTCAGAAATAACAAAGAAAACACAAACACGATAAGAGTGTAAAGTATATGAAAGGTAGGCAATGAGTCCCAAAACTGTGTTTTGTTATTTACGAGTGTCCTGCTAAGTTTATTTTTTTTTGCAGTTGAGGGGCGATGTTGTTGTTGCTGCTGCTGCTGTGTGTGGCATCCCAGTTTGGTGGGGAGCGGTAGTGTAGTGTCTTCTTGGTTCTTTCGGTAAAGTCACGTAGAAGGGAGACAGCGTCTCCCTGACAGACCTGGTCTTCACCTGAGGACGGCTGATTGCGTTGTGGCCGAAACGTCGTGAGAATTATTTTATTATGTTTTATTTTTATTATTTTATTACTTCCCTTCTACGTGACTTTACCGAAAGAACCAAGAAGATGAATCCCTGGAGTCACGAAAGCTTTAAATCGAAAGGTAGTGTAGTGGTTAGCGCTACATTGCGCTACAATCCCGGCGACCCGAGTTCGATTCCTGCTCACGGCCAACACCGGTGACGATTATTTGAACCGGTCCTGGGCCTCCACTAGGTCGACTCAGCCTTAAACGAGTACCTGGTACGGGGGATCTTGGTCTTTGTGTGAGGGTTTTAGCTTTGGGATTAGGCACAGTTAATCAACACATGGTAACCTGCATAGGCACGCAATTAACCAGTGTTGTTATTTGTGCTACTGCACCACCCAGTTAGACCCGCCCACCACTCAGGTGGCCCCGCCCACCACTCAGTTAGACCCGCCCACCACTCAGGTGGCCCCGCCCACCACCCAGTTAGACCCGCCCACCACTCAGGTGGCCCCGCCCACCACTCAGTTAGACCCGCCCACCACTGGACTATCCCCGCCCACTGCCCAGGTTGCCCCGCCCACCACTGAGCTAGCCCAGCCAACTCCTCAGGTAGCCTCGCCCAACACCCAGACAGCCGTCGCCCACCATCGCTCCCAACCCCGCCTCCTCCTGAACTCTGTCCATCTGCCCCTCCTCACGTCCTCGCCAGAGGTCGCAACCGGGTACCCGATACCCGTACCCTACCCGATACCCGGCTACCCATACCCGGCCGGATACAGGTAGCCGGGTAGCCGTTTGCGACCCTGGTGCGGCCGGGTACGGGCACGGGTAGGCCGTGAGTCACTGGTGAGTCACCGTTTGTCACTCATTTCGGGCAGGGTACGGGTACGGGTAGGCCGTGAGTCACTGGTGAGTAGCTGTTTGTCACTCATTTCGGGTAGGGTACGGGTAGGGAACGGCTACCCGTACCCGGCCGGGTACGGGTACCCATTTGCGACCCTGGTGCGGCCGGGTACGGGTATGGGTAAGGAATCAAAACCCGTTTGCGACCTCTGGTCGTCACCCCCTGCCCCGCCCCCACCCTAGGACCGTGTGCTACGACTACTTCTTCCCTGTGTCGCACATCCGCTTCTGGGCCATCCAGCTGGTGCTCGTGTCCACGCCCACGATGCTCGTGCTCATGCACGTGGCGGCGCGGCGATTCCGGAACAAGTTCAAAGGTGACGGCCGCGGGAGATCGAGCGTTCCTCCCTCCCTCTGACCCCCCCCACCCCCTCTACAACTCGCCAACCCGTCACCCGCTCGCGACGCCTGAGGTTCTATCCGGGCAACCCGGTTCACTCCCACCATGCAGTGCCGGATGAAGCTTGTGTGGGGCCTGTAGCAAATGTTGTTTATAAGGGGCCCTAAATAGAAAATAAAAAACACGTAAATATTAAAACATAATTTTTTTACTTGCATAGTAAAGTGATTGTATTTTTTCATTTGCTATACAGCCAGATAATATGACAAATCGCTAACCTTAAGAAACCATCTTCTTGGTTTTTTTGGTAAAGTCACGTAGAAGGGAAATAATAAAATAATAAAAATAAAACATAATAAAATAATTCTCACGACGTTTCGGCCACAACGCAAGCAGCAGTCCTCAGGTGAAGAACAGGTCTGTCGGGAAGACAGCGTCTGAATGGGTCTGAATGAGACTCTGTCTCCCCGACAGACCTGTTCTCCACCTGAAGACGGCTGCTTGCGTTGTGGCCGAAACGTCGTGAGAATTATTTTATTATGTTTTATTTTTATTATTTTATTATTTCCCTTCTACGTGACTTTACCGAAAGAACCAAGAAGATGAATCCCTGCAGTCACGAAAGCTTGAAATCGAAACTTAAACAACCAATCGTTCATTAAAGTTGAAGGCGGTATAGTACTATAGTAAGTGCAGAATCACTGAACCGGAATTGATAGCTTGAAAGCATTTAGCGCAGGGCCCTTGAAAGTGCGGGGCCCGTAGCATTTGTAGCTACTCTTGCTACTAGGATAATCCGGCACTGCCACCACGTAGAGGCCCGCAGAGCTTTGGCAAGTGTTGGCAGCGTCGTCTTTCTTGTCTTGTGTTCCCCATCTCTCTCTCTCGTGTATCCATCTCTCTCTCTCTCTCGTGTATCCATCTCTCTAGTGTGTCAATCTATCTCGTGTTCCCCATCTCTCTAGTGTGTCAATCTCTCTCTTGTTCCCCATCTCTCTCTCTCATGTATCCACCTCTCTCTAGTGTATCCACCTCTCTCTCTTCAATGTATCCATCTCTCTCTCTCTTGTGTTCCCCACCTCTCTCTGTCTCGCGTTTCTTTCTTCTCGTGTTCCCCTTCTCAATGTCCCCCACCCCCACCCGCAGGTCGTGAGGACCTGGACAAGATGGAGGGGGGCCTGGTGTGGACCTACCAGCTGAGCGTGATATGCCGAGTGGTCGTCGAGGTGGGCTCCGCCTACCTCTTCTGGAGGTTCTGCTCGCCCCTGGGACTCATCCTGCCCATGGTGGCCCAGTGCTCGGTGGCCCCGTGCCCCAACTCGGTCGACTGCTTCGTGTCGCGCCCCTCCGAGAAGACTGTCTTCATCATCTTCATGCTCACTGTGTCCGGGGTGAGTGCTCGGACGTCCGTCCGTCTGTCCGGCCGTCCGGTGGATCCGTGCCACCGCCTCTGTCTGACCGGCTGTCGTTTGTGTGTCTCCGATCGGCCATTTTCTCTTTTTTTTCTCCGTTCGCGTGTCCGATTGGCCGATCGTCCGTCCGTCGGACCGTCAGATCGCCTGTTTGTCCATTCGTACTTGGGACATTTCCGCTTTTCGGCACCAACATCGGAGCGGCACCCGCAGTAACCGCACGTACTTGTGGCAAAGCATGCAAACCAGCAGGCTCTGATAATGTGCTGTTCGCCTTTTGGAACTGTTCTCTGGTGTGACAATGGTGGTGAGACAAGGCCATAAAGAAGGCTGCTGTCTCTGGTGTAGGCCAATCGGTTTCAAAGACAATGTCATCTATTATCAGAGCATGTTTGTTTGCATATTTTTCCTACAAGTTTGTTTGTTGTTAATCCATAATAGATGTTTTTTGTGATAGATCGTGTAAATATATAAATGTCGTGTCGTTAAACCCACTGCCAACGCAGCCTTGGTAACCATCATCAGCAGCCATCAGGGAAACACGCGGACATGCAAAGATAAAGATCCCCCCGTGTAGCCTTAATAGACTCTTTAGCGCAAGTGCTGTTAGTGAGTAGCACCAATGAAGGCCGGCACTGTGGCACACTAGGGGGTGGGTGGGTGGCCAGCACCACGCCCGGCTGCCTTTGTCTCCACAGTGGCGATGTTTACTACAACACCACACCAGATACTCATTTGAGGCCGAATAGACATAGGGGAAGCCCAGGACCGCTTCAGATAATCGTCACTGCCATGAATCCAACTTGGGCCGCTGGATTCACAGCGCAGCAGCGCGCTAACCGCTCCCCTTTAGACACACAGAGACACAAACACACAGAAAAACACACACTCACACACACAAGCCCATGCATATGCAGGTAACGCAACAGCCGGCACCGTGAAGTCATCGTCACGCGGCTGCTGCCTTAACCGGTTCAGCGAGCTTTTAGGTGGCCTCCGACTTCTTGGCAGCCATTTGTGCAGAGTCAGTGCCAGTCGCCCAGGGGGGTGGCACAGGGGTGGGGGAGGAGGGTCAGGAGGGGATCGTTGTGTAACCCGCCGCATCGGCTTACGGCTACGACGGCGAGGGTAGCTGAGTGCATGAGAGGTGACAAGATGCCGACACTCGGGCATTCGCTCAGAGCTGCCGGGCCTCCCCAGAGGTCATCTCGGCCCCCGATTCCTATGAGTGCCTGGGTGTGGTGTGTAGTAGACGTCACCGCTGGGGCGTGGTGCTGGCCAACCACCCCCTCGTGTGCCGTGCCAGCCTTTTTAGGTGTTGCTACTCGTGAAGAGCACTTGCCCTCAAAAAATTCTGAGATTTGGGCCATCCTGTATAATAATAACAATAACCCTACTTGTCCTCACTTTTAGGCCATCCTGTATAACAATAACCCATCTTGTCCTCACTTTTAGGCCATTTTGTATAACAATAACCCATCTTGTCCTCACTTTTAGGCCATCCTGTATAATAACCCATCTTGTCCTCACTTTTAGGCCATCCTGTATAACAATAACCCATCTCGTCCTCACTTTTAGGCCATCCTGTATAACAATAACCCATCTCGTCCTCACTTTTAGGCCATCTTGTATAACAATAACCCATCTTGTCCTCACTTTTAGGCCATTTTGTATAACAATAACCCATCTTGTCCTCACTTTTAGGCCATTTTGTATAACAATAACCCATCTTGTCCTCACTTTTAGGCCATTTTGTATAACAATAACCCATCTCGTCCCCACTTTTAGGCCATTTTGTATAACAATAACCCATCTTGTCCTCACTTTTAGGCCATTTTGTATAACAATAACCCATCTTGTCCTCACTTTTAGGCCATTTTGTATAACAAGAACCCATCTTGTCCCCACTTTTAGGCCATCTTGTATAACAATAACCCAACTTGTCCTCACTTTTAGGCCATCTTGTATAACAAGAACCCATCTTGTCCTCACTTTTAGGCCATTTTGTATAACAAGAACCCATCTTGTCCTCACTTTTAGGCCATTTTGTATAACAATAACCCATCTTGTCCTCACTTTTAGGCGATCCTGTATAACAAGAATCCTACTTGTCCTCATTTAGGGCCACCCAGTATAATAATCCTACTTGCCCTGACTTTTGGGCCACTCTGTGTATTCAGCCACGTCTCGATTTTAAAAGCCACGTGCTAAAGTCGTGACGTCACCGTCTCTCTCACCAACCAATCAGAGCGTCTCAATGTTAAAAGCCACGTGCTAAAGTCGTGACGTCACCGTCACTCTCACCAACCTATCAGAGCGTCTCAATGTTAAAAGCCACGTGCTAAAGTCGTGACGTCACCGTCTCTCTCACCAACCAATCAGAGCGTCTCAATGTTAAAAGCCACGTGCTAAAGTCGTGACGTCACCATCTCTCTCACCAACCTATCAGAGCGTCTCAATGTAAAAGCCACGTGCTAAAGTCGTGACGTCACCGTCTCTCTCACCAACCTATCAGAGCGTCTCAATGTAAAAGCCACGTGCTAAAGTCGTGACGTCACCGTCTCTCTCACCAACCAATCAGGAGCTCCTCATTGCTTAAGTCGCGACGTAACCATCTCTCTCTCTCTCGCCCCTGCCCAGATCTGCCTCTTCCTCAACCTCATTGAGCTCTTCTACATCCCCATCAAGTACTGGCTGGGGCCGTTATTCTGCAGCACGCGAAGGAATGTCAACCTCCGCGAGCCGCCCCTCTCGGCGGTGCGGAGCGACTCAACGCGCTCGGCCCCCGACGACAAGGCCGCAGCCTGCTGCAGCTGCCGCTGCGACTGCTCGTGCCACCCGGCCCGCGGCAGGGCCGAACTGACCCGCGGCGGCAGCTACGGTGACGGCGGCGGTCCCGGCGGTGGCGGTGGCTGCGGTGGTGGCAGCCGGAGCTCGGCTTGCGCGGGGCGGCCAAACGGAGTGCTTCCGGGGCGGTGCGTCGTGGTTTTAGAGGCGCAGGACAAGGCCGGCAGGAAGAAGAAGGGCGTGACACGGATGCAGGCAATAGAGATGGGCGATGGCGATGGTGGAGATGGTGGAGGTGGAGGAGGAGGAGGTTGCTCTCCTCCCCCAGTGTCCCCGGCGGCTTCGTTGCTGGTGTCACCGCGGGCGCCGCACCTGGCGACGCACGGGAAGTGCCGCTCGTGCGGCGAGGAGGTGACAGAGGACGGTGGCGACGAGGAGGAGCAGGAGGAAGAGGAGGAAGTGGGAGAGCGGGCGCTGCTAGGGGCGGGCAAGGGCGGCCGTGGCAAAGAGGGCGCCTTGAGCAAGGAGAGGCGGGCGGGCAGCATGGGAGATGGGAAGTGACGATGCTGATGATGACGACGACGATGGCGGCGGCGGCGACGAAGAGGAGGAACTCCGTTTCCGTGGATTTTTCTGTTTTTGTTCTTGCTTCTGTTACTTGGTTCCCTTGACGTTTGGCAAAAGTAATCATTCAGCCCGCATCTACGCGGGTGCGTGCCAGACTGGGGCATCGGCGTGCCTTGGCGGGTAACAAGCTCTCGCTCATCTCTCTCCCGCCTGCGCGAAGACGAAGCCATGGAACTACTCAGGGAGCGACAACGTTGAGACGATGACGACGACGTGTCGGTTTTCGTGCGCAGAGGCGGCGTTCGTCGTCGGTCGGTGCAAACTGCGCGTCTCTCTCTCTCTTCGCAATTGCCGATGGGGAACCCGCTCGGACGAGGTGCGGGAAGGCAGCGGTGGTAGCAGCCGCGGTAGTGAGGAGCTGGCGACACCAACGGTTGTGTCCCCCCCACAACCCCCCAAGCTCTCACAGTCCTCTTTATATTCCGATGTTTTCAGACAATTAAATAAGCGTTTATATTCGTGTTGGGGAGGAATCCGGAGCGCCCGGACTAAAACAAAAACCGCAGACGTGCGCGCGGGGTGGGAGGGTCGGGGGCAACACTTTGCTATTCCAGATGGAACAGATGGGAATTAGTCCACACACTCTGCTATAGGAGCGAGCGAGATGGAACAGATGGGGATTAGTCCACACACTCTGCTGTAGGAGGGAGTGAGATGGAACAGATGGGGATTCGTTCCACACTCTCTGCTGTAGGAGGGAGTGAGATGGAACAGATGGGGATTAGTCCACACACTCTGCTCTAGCAGGGAGTGAGATGGGTACGGCTCCTCCACCACACCCACCCACGGGTATAAGAGGGAGTTTCATAACCCATCTGTGTGCGGTCCACTAACCCTTGCTCTGCATGGCACTGGAGAACTACTCTAGGCGATCAGCCAGGTGCGGCGGCGAATGCTTGTTTGTCCTCGGGTGGCGCAAACTCCAAATGTACAGCAGTAGGCGTCAGGGTCAGGATGGAACCCACGACCTCTACCATGCGAGGTAGTTAACGTATCTTAGCCACCGTGATGATGATGAGAGAGAGACGCAAACTCCAAATATACAGCAGCAGGCATCGTCAGGGTCGGGATCGAACCCACGACCTCCTGCACACCAGGCGAGGTAGTGAACATCTCCTAGCCACCGTGATGATGATGATGATGATGTTGAGAGAGAGAGACGCAAACTCCAAATCTACAGCAGCAGGCATCATCAGGTTCGGGATCTAACCCACGACCTCCTGCACACCAGGCGAGGTAGTCAACATCTCCTAGCCACCGTGATGATGATGATGATGAGAGAGAAACGCATCTCACCACCGCGGCGCCCAGTGATGCTGCTGCTGCGTTGGCAGTGGTGCACAAGCATAGCAATAACATAGGCAACGTTTCGGGCGACGGACCTTCGTAGCAGATGGTAGCACGTGGTACCTTATAAAGGAAATATATATATAGTATGTGACGTTTCATGCGACGGATCTTGCCAGCACAAGTCACTAAATTCCAGACGCGGGGTGTTTTAGTGCCACAGAGCAATCGTCCACTGAACGTGACAAGCGGGTCAGTGTCTCCTTCACGTAGACACCTTTCCACACATAAAATATTAAAGGATTTATGACTAATCCCATCGGCCACACGCGTACGTTCTACTGGGAGTGTGCAATTTCAACAGCATTGATTACAAGACGAGCAACCGCTGGAAACCGGTTTCGACATCCGCTGTCTCGTCAGAGTCTCGGCGTTGAGTGTCTGCTCAGCAGAGTTGTCGCTTGTCTTGAATCGGTGCTGCTGAAACGAGGCACTTCCAGAAGCCCGTGCACATGGCTGATGGGATGTCGAGGAAATAATGTTGTTGTTTATGTTCACGTGGAGGGATGGGCGTGTGTTCAGGAGGTTGTTTTTTTCGGTAAAGTCGCGCAGGTAAAAAATAAAATCAAAGTAAATTAAATCACGACGTTTCGGAGGCAACACAAGCTTCCGTCTTCAGGTGGAAACGTCGTGATTTAATTTATTTTTATTTTATTTTTTTACCTACGTGACTTTACCGAAAAAATCAAAGAGTATGGACCCTTGCAGTCAGGAAAACTTCAAATCTAGAATTTAGGAGGTTTGTTTTATCTATTTTGTAATTTACAATCTCCATCGCAACAAAGTAACGCTAATGGTTACGTTGATTCCCACTGCAGTCACCGTGGGTGATGTCTATACAGAATGCCTCTCACTGTATTACTCGATGTGTGTCTGTATGTTGAACTTGTTTTGCACCATACCTAGCCAATTGTACTAATCGGAGGTGATGTCGATGATAGAAACTGCCAGCTACTATTGTATTCATCTTCTTGGTTCTTTCGGTAAAGTCATGTAGAATGGACAGACCTGGTCTTCACCTGAGGACGGCTGCTTGCGTTGTGGCCGTAACGTCGTGATAATTATTTTATAATGTTTTATTTTTATTCTTTTATTACTTCCCTTCTACGTGGTGACTTTACCGAAAGAACCAAGAAGATGAATCCCTGCAGTCACGAAAGCTTTAAATCGAAATATTATTGTATTGCTGCTCTAAGCGAAATGTTTCGTCGTTGTAGTGAAAGTCGCCACCGCCACATCGACCCCTACTGACGCCACCCACCACTACCTCTACTGCCGTGCGTGCACTCCCCACCACCACCGCCACCTTCCACAACTACCACTGCTACCAGAGGTCGCAACCGAGTACCCGATACCCGGCTACCCGTACCCGGCCGGGTACGGGTACCCGTTTGCGACCCTGGTGCGGCCGGGTACGGGTACGGGTAGGCCGTGAGTCACTGGTGAGTCACCGTTTGTCACTCATTTCCCAACGTCTTGTCTCTTCTCACAATTCAAGTTCCTAGAATCAACCCATCCGCGCCTGCAACATGGCTTCATCCCAGAGGTCGCAATCAGGTACCCGTACCCTACCCGATACCCGGCCAGGTACAGGGTAGCCGGGTATCGGGTAGGGTACGGGTACCCGTTTTCGACCCTGGTGCAGCCGGGTACGGGTAAGGAATCAAAATCCGTTTGCGACCTCTGACCGCTATCCACATTAAGCCCCACACACCCCGCTTGCAGGCGGGGGGAAGGGGCGGAACCTAAAGAGGAATGGGCGGAGCCTGGACAGGAAAGGGCGGGGCCTAGAGAGGAAGGGGCGGGGCATAGAGAGGAAGGAACGGGGCATGAAGCGGAAGGGGCGGAGCATAGATAGGAAGGGCGGGGCATATCCAGAAAGGGGCGGGGCATAGAGAGGAAGGGTGGGGCATAGAGAGGAAGGGCCGGGGGCTAAAGAGGAATGGGCGGAGCCTGGACATGAAGGGGGCGTGGCCTAGAGCGGAAAAGGTGGAGGCTAAAGAAAAATGGGCGGAGCCTGGCCAGGAAGGGGCGGGGCATAGAGAGGAAGGGGCGGGGGCTAAAGAGGAAAGGGTGGAGCCTGGACAGGAAGGGGCGGAGCATAGAGAGGAAGGGGCGGGGCATAGAGAGGAAGGGCCGGGGGCTAAAAAAGAAGGGGGGGCTAAAGAAGAACAGAAGATGGGGTTTGATCAGGAAAGGTGTCAGGCCGAAGGGGTCAGGGGTGGGGATGCATTGAGAGCAATGGTCAGGGTCCTACCAGGAGTTGAACTTTCTTTGCTCAGTGAAGGTAATGGACACGTGAAATCAAACATGTGCAGCAGCAGGCAGGCAGCAGTGGCAGCTTTAGTGCCGTGGATGTGGACACAGGCGAGATTTCAACTCCCTCGCCTGGTATTCAGGAGGTCGTGAGTGCGGTGGCTGATGCCTGCTGTGCATTTGGAGTTTGCGGGTCTTTCTCCCCGTGGTCGCGTGGGTTTTTCTCCGGGTTCTCGGGTTTTTTCCCTTCCACATTTAAAATCAACGTCTCACGCGTGCAGAGCATTTGGCTGCTGCTATAAATTTTTACGCGACGATGATGATGATAAGTCCACTTTGTTAAACTATCATTCGTGAGAATCCGGTCGCTTCTGAAAATTAGCTATACATCAGCTCAGTGGGTGGGGCCTTACCTGGTAAAATAAAAATTGCTGTAGTTTTTTAGGAACTGTATTCGGTTCACTTACCCAGCAGATCCTCAGCGAGCCTCAAGTCTCGTCTGCTACGTCGGGGGTACGTGGCGAGACCCTCTTTTTTTAGACAAATATGAAATCTGTCAAAAAAAGCTTCGTGGCTAATCGGATTCCTCCAGCGGTGAGGAATAACCCCGGACCATCCCGGAGAAAACCCATCGCTGAACGCAACGGGGACAAGTCCTCTTTGGCAGTGGGTTCTTGACCGGGGGTGGGTACACGGCAGAGGTCACAACCGGGTACCTGATACCCGTACCCTACCCGATACCCGGCTACCCGTACCCGGCCGGATACGGGTAGCCGGGTAGCCGTTTGCGACCCTGGTGCGGCCGGGTACGGGTACGGGTAGGCCGTGAGTCACTGGTGAGTAGCCGTTTGTCACTCATTTCGGGTAGGGTATGGGTACGGGTAGGGAACGGCTACCCGTACCCGACAGGGTACGGGTAGCCCATTTGCGACCCTGGTGCGGCCGGGTACGGGTACGGGTAGGCCGTGAGTCACTGGTGAGTAGCCGTTTGTCACTCATTTCGGGTAGGGTATGGGTAGGGAACGGCTACCCGTACCCGGCCGGGTACAGGGTACGGGTACCCATTTGCGACCCTGGTGCGGCCGGGTACGGGTAAGGAATCAAAACCCGTTTGCGACCTCTGGTACACGGACCCCTGGGGGGGTACACGTGGCAATGTCCCACGGCGGGGTGGTACGCCGCGAAAGTTGATTTATATAAATGTGCGCGATTATCGTACGGGAGAGAGTCGTTGGTGAATAATGGGGTTGTGTGAATCTGCTGATATAAAATAACTTCGGTGGAATATATATTTTTTTAATCTGTACGGTAACGTCAAACGCTATGAGGTACCTTACTGAACTCGTTGATCGTGAAACGGTGCAAGTTTACCAAAGAGTTACCGGCGAGCGGTGGATAAATATCATCGCAGGGCGTCCATAGGATTTGTTTTTTTGTTATCCGCTCGCGGTTACTAGCAGCTAAGTTAGGGATATACCTCACAAAATGGACAATTAACGGTAAAATATCGATGTTCATTCATCCATACATTTATTTATCAGAACCATGGGGTCTCAACTGGTTAAATAAAGGATGGCATACTCTTTGGTTCTTTTGGTAAAGTCACGTAGAGAGAAAACATAACTAATAGATCACGACGTTTCGATAGCAACACAAGCCATCGTCTTCAGGTGAAACAATGCAGCAGACTGACTGCTGAGGCAGGAGGAAATGTAGCGAGAGAGCCACTGCAACCAAAGGTTATACTGGTAGGAACCTCCTGGTTACACCAGCCCACATGGGATTATTGTGTCCGTCCGTCCGTCGTGCAGGGAGGGGCTGGGTGAGGAGGGTCTGGGTGGGTGGGGTGGGGCTAGGTGGGGAGGGGCTGGTCACCCCGTACGTTAAACCTACTCACGCCGGCTTGTGCCCGCCCTCACAGTCGGCCATATTTGCAGAATACACCACGCCGCCGTTGACCCTGCAGGCCATTGACCGAACAACCCAACGTTCCTACCAGCTCCCTCCGCAGGAATGTGTTATACGCTTGTGGTGGGTACAACCCAAGGGTAAGTGGGCGGGGCTAGGGATGGAATTTGCAAGTGAATGTAATCGCAGAGAGGGTGGGGGTGATATTCTTGGGTTTTTTCGGTAAAGTCACGTAGGTAAAACATTAAAATTAATAAAAGTAAATCAAAATAAAAATCATCTCTTGAGGAAGGCCAGCGTCTCGAGAAGCTGTGACTTCTTGTCTCGTTGTCTGTTAAAAACTCTAACAAATAGGTGTTAGAGTTTTTAACAGAGAGATAGATGTTAGAGTTTTTAACAGACAACGAGACAAGAAGTCACAGCTTCTCGAGACGCTGGCCTTCCTCAAGAGATGATTTTTATTTTGATTTACTTTTATTAATTTTAATGTTTTACCTACGTGACTTTACCGAAAAAACCCAAGAATTTGAATCCTTGCAGTCACGAAAGCTTCAAATCTAGAAGGGTGGGGGTGGTTGACCTCGGCTAATCCGAGGAGGGGAGGGCGAGGGGCTGCCGTAACGGGCGAGAGGGTGGGGGTGAAATTTACTGAGGGAACAAGGTGATGGAGAGAAAAAAGAAAAAAAATATGAAACCTAGCACACTTAGAAATGTAATGCAACTCAGAGAGTCGGCCAACGCAACAGCGAACACCCTACCTGGTTGATCAGCGTCCTTCCAAAGATTGCTACATTTTGCATCCATCTTCTCGGTTGAAGCCATGCCTGAGTTGTGTGGAAATCCTCCCCGTAGATGTGGTTCAATCTTGATTCAAAGCTTTCGTGACTGCAGTAATTCATACTCTAAACCAGGGGTGGCCCGCGAAATCATTTGGGTCTGGCCCTGCCAAAGCAAACGCAGGCGGGACTCGAATTTAATAAATCTAGGAGCAAACCTGGAAAAGCAGTTGCGAGTAGCAACATCATCGATACCAGCAGCTAACATCACACGCCTCTCCAAAGAGAAGCAGTTCCAGCCCATCGCATTAGGGGCGAGTTAATTAAATGTTTGACCAAATATAACGGGCAAATGTTTAAGTTGATACTTTTGTATGGCCTGCACATGATGTTATAAATATCCAAATGACACTTGGCAGAAGAAAGGTTCCCCACCCCTGTTCTAAACGTAAAACACATTCCTGCGGAGGGAGCTGGTAGGAACGTTGGGTTGCTCGGTCAATGGCCTGCAGGGTCAACGGCGGCGTGGTGTATTGCGCAAATATGCCCGACTGTGAGGGCGGGCACAAGCCGGCGTGAGTAGGTTAAACGTTGAGTTTTATAAGGGCACCACGGGGTGACCAGCCCCTCCCCGCCCAGCCCCACCCTCCCCACCCAGCCCCTCCCCACCCTCTCCTCCCCACCCAGCCCCTCCCCATCCTCCCCACCCAGCCTCACCCTCCCTCCCCACCCAGCCCCTCCCCACCCTCTCCTCCCCACCCAGCCCCTACCCACCCTCCCCACCCAGCCCCTCCTCACGCTCCCCTCTCCATCCAGCCCCACCCCTCCCATTTTTGGATGCACGACGGACGGACGGACACAATAATCCCCTGTGGGCTGGTGTAACCAGGAGGTTCCTACCAGTATAACCTTTGGTTGCAGTGGCTCTCTCGCTACATTTCATCCTCAGCAGTCCGCCTGCTACATTATTTCACCTGAAGACGATGGCTTGTGTTGCTATCGAAACGTCGTGATTCATTAGTTATGTTTTTTTTATCTCCGTGACTTTACCGAAAGAGCCAAATAGTATGAATTCCTGCAGTCACGAAAGCTTAAAAACAAGATGAAAGAATGTCAATCACAACAGACGGTGAATCTCAAATCACAAGCGTCGCTGGCCATCACAAGCGGTAGCATCTCAACAAAGTGGCTGATGGCACCACCACCATCATCGCTGTCGTCACGTGGACATTGATTGCAGCACCCAAATACGTGAAAGGTGTAGAGATTTGTAGAGACGCATAGAGATACACAGATGCTCACAGAGACCCATACTCACCAATTATCATAGAAAGCCGCAGAGATACAGAGACTTATATTGAACCATGGAGATCCACAGATACCCAGATTAGGAATAATCAAAAATGCGTGATGTGGAGGGGAAAACATGGAGGACCCGTAGAAAAATCCACGCGACCACGGGGAGCGAGAGAAAGAAAGACGCAAACTCCAAATAAACAACAGCAAGCGTCATGGTCTAGGATCGAACCCACGACTTCCTGCACACCAGGTGAGGTAGTTAACATCTCCTAGCCACCGTGATGATGATGATGATGAGAGAGAGACGCAAACTCCAAATAAACAGCAGCAGGCGTCATGGTCTAGGATCGAACCCACGACTTCCTGCACACCAGGTGAGGTAGTTAACATCTCCGAGCCACCGTGATGATGATGATGAGAGAGAGAGACGCAGACTCCAAGTATACAGTAGCAGGCATCGTCAGGGTCGGGATCGAACCCACGACCTCCTGTACACCAGGCGAGGTAGTCAACATCTCATAGCCACCGTGGCGTCATGGTCTATGATCGAACCCACGAATTCCTGCGTACCAGGCGAGGTGGTCAACATCTCATAGCCACCATGGCGTCATGGTCTATGATCGAACCGACGACCTCCTGCGTACCAGGCGAGGTGGTCAACATCTCATAGCCACCATGGCGTCATGGTCTATGATCGAACCCACGAATTCCTACGTACCAGGCGAGGTGGTCAACATCTCATAGCCACC